TCCAGGTTATTTTATGACGGTGCGGCTGAGAAAGGAAGACCCTACCTAAATATAAGTTGCACCATCTCATTGCCTGGCTTCCTGAACAAGAAAAAGGAAGAAAGAAAAGAAAGGAAGGAAGGAAGGAAGGAAGGAAGAAAGGAAGAAAGGAAGAAAGGAAGAAAGGCAAGCAAACTAACATTCATCTGATCTGCTGATGCGATGTGAATTCTCCCTTCTCCCAGTTGTCAAGCTCCCCCCCACCCCCGTGCTGGACTGTACGCCCTCAAGATGCAAGCCAAAATGAACCCACCTCCCCTTAACTTGCCTCTTTTCAGGCCTTTGTTAAGTTTTCTTAGTTTCTTAAGTCTTACGAGGTTCACTGTCCTTCCAGGAATGTTTCATCTAGGAGAAAATAGCTAAACAATACTATTGAACTTACTAGGATCCATGCATAGGTCAACACCCTAAACATATTAGCACATGCAGGTACTGTCCACCAGAAACACACACACACACACACACACACACACACACACACACACATCCCTAACCTAAAGGAACTCGTGGTGCAAAGTGCAAGGGAAAGGAAGTAAGCAGAACTTCCTTTCTGCCCAGATGGACCATGGAAAGAAGAAATCAAGATATGTTGGAATTCAATCAAGCATTAAGAAGCAGCCTAAGAAACAACTGGTGTTTTCTTGGAACAGCCCAGAAGACAGCAGGTAGCAGCAGAGCTCTTAAAATGTAAATGAATTTGTGACTCAGCGTCGCCTGTTTTGTTCTCCTTATTTAGACACAAGTCAAAACTTTCACCGAGAACATGATGAGGGAGTATCTGCTTACTATTCGCGTTATTGATATCACAAATTTCTAGGAGGCAGAGCTACTTATATCATTCAACGTTATGGTAGACGTTGTGAGCTCGTCGAGGGTAACACTGAGTGTAAAGACATATTGGACTGGCGGGGCGTGGTAGCCCGTGCCCTTAATTAATCCCTGCACTCGACGGCAGAGGCCAGGGGAAGGGAGGGAAGGGAGGCAGAGGCGGGACGATCTCCGAGTTCGAGGCCAGCCTGTTCTCCAGTGTGAGTCCCAGGACAGCCAGGCCTGCCTGTGTACCAAGAGAAAAACCCTTTTTTTCAAAACAACAACAATAAAAAGATCCATGTTAGACTGAGGATGTAGCTCAGTGATAGAACGCTTGCTTGAGCTTCTTCCCTAACGCACAGCCTCAACTGTTAACGCTACACACCGCACTTTGCAGCCTCTAACGCGGGGAGGGAGGGAGGGGAGGAAGGCCCGCCCCGGAACTGCCGGGTAGCCCCGCCCCTTAGTTTCCTTTGCGAGGGACCCGCCGCCAGTCAAGAGCGCAACTGGCGGAAGTGACGGCATCAGATGTGCGTCGGGCTCCGGCGGGGTCGAGTCCCGGTAGCGGCGGCGGGTGTGTGCTGGCGGTTTGGCTAGGTTTCTGCGGTCGCGTCATTTTCTCCGCAGCGCCCCCAGGTAACGGTCGTTCAGCCTCTCCTGGGGGTGTGAGGGCCTCGGCCAAGGCGACCTCCGCAGCGGGTTCCCCCGGGGGCGTCGGGCGCGCGGGCCCCGGCGGGGAACGGTCCTCGGCGCGTGCAGCGGCGGCTGGGCGAGCGGGCGAGCGAGGGAGCACCAGTCGCCCGCCGGGGCCGCGGCTTCGGCGGGGTCTTCAAACCCGGAGCCGAGGGCGAGAGTCTCGGAGGGGCTGGCACCGGGCAGCGCCGCGCACCCCGGCTGGTCCCCCCACCTCACCCCCGGTTAGAGTCAGAAGACAGTTAGTTGTACCCGGGCCTGGGGCTGCTGCTCGTTCTGTCCCTCCCGCCCGAGTAAGGACAGTTTTGTTAGGAAGGAGACTTGAACGTCTCGTCGGAAGCCCGAGGTCCAAGCACAGTTAGGGATCGACGTATAAGCACGAGCTACTCTCGGTTTACACGCTCTCCGCGCCTCAAGGCTCAGGTTAGCGTGTGGTTTCCCAAAAACTCTGGGTAGCCGGACTGGGTTAGGTAGACGCATGAAGGCTGCACAGTGCTTTCTCAAATAATCCGATTTGATGGCTCCGTTTCCAAAAGGCGAAGACCCTGAAAGACAGCCTAAGAATGAGCTAGTGTACTGATTGTTTCGATCTTGTGATACACGTCAGGGAAGATGGTTTTAATATCGTATGCAGGTGTGAGATGACCGCTGCATAGCATCCTACAAATTTCGGTCGTCTTATATACCCACAAAATGATCTGGGTAAATCTCCGGTAATACTCTGATCATTAAATCCAACCGTCATTATCTTTTTGGCTCAACTGAAGCAGTAACCTCTGAAATTTTCTCAGATTTATCGTCTCTTGACAAAGGAGATAATGAAACTGTACTTTAAAATCCCATTGCCAGGTGGGCAGTGGTGGCCTATGCCTTTAATACCAGCACTCAAGAGAAAGAGTCAGGCACATCTCTGTGAGTTCGAGGCCAGCCTGGTCTACAAAGCCACCGGAGAAACCGTGTCTAGAAGGGAAAACAAAACAAAACAAACAAACAAACAAACAAACAAAAACATTGCCCATGTAATAACATCTTTCGATCCGAATTATGTAACCCTCCTATAGTTTTGTCATCTCTTGTAGTAACTTTCTTTAAGCCTGTCACATACTGTATACTCTATTTATTAATTGTTGTCTTCCTTTCACTTTGTGTGTGTGTGCTGATTTGTACATTTTTGTTCCTCTTGCTAGACCTGTGTTAAATTGCTCCTGCCTTTTGAAAGATCTGGCCTCTCAAAAGGGTATGTAACTTTAGTATTTTCTTAATTTTTTAAAAAGATGTATGTATGTGAATGTTTACCTGTATGTTTGTTTGTGTACCACATACATGCCTGGGGCCCACGGAAGACAGAAGAGCACTGGGTTAACTGGGCTGGATTTACAGCTAGTTGTGAGCAGCCATGTGGGTGCTAGGAATCAAACCTAGGTCTTCTGAAAAGCAACAGTGCTCTTAACTGCTGAGCCTCTCCAGCCCCTTGGTTATGTACTGCCTGCCAGGCCTAGCTGCAGTCATAGTTGCAAAGATTTGAAGACATGCATTCTGGTTTCAGCTTTCTTGCATCTTGCCTTACTTAGTAAATACTTACGATTTTAATGCTTGCTAAGTTTTGTGCAGTTACTTTTGTTGTTTTTTTTTTTTTTTATTGATAAGGACTATATCCTCTTTATCTTTGTATCTGGAGCACTTCTGTTGTAGAATAATAAAAACATTTTCTGATATCAGAAAATGTAATTTTCTTGTAACTTTAGTATCTCTTATATATCTAGTATCTCTCAGAAACAGGCATCTCATTTTTTTCTCCTTAATATTTGTTTGTTTGTTATGTGTACAGTGTTCTGCCTGCATGTATCCCTGCAGGCCAGAAGAGGGTACCAGATCTCATTACAGATGCTTGTTAGCCATCATGTTGCTGGGACTTGAACTCAGGACCTCTAGAAGAACAGGCAGTGCTTTTGACCCCTGAGCCATCTCTCTAGCCCATCTCTTCATTTTTTTTTTTTTTTTTTTTTTTCCCCCAATAGTGAGTTTAAGCTGGGCAGTGATGGCTCTGCCTTTAGTTCCAGCACTTGAGAGGCAGAGGCAGGTGGATCTCAGTGAGTTCAAGGCCAGCCTGGTATACAAAGTAAGTTCCAGGACAGCCCTAACTACTACACAGAGAAACTCTTGTCTTGAAAAACCAAAAGGAAAAAAGCATTTCTCAATATTGAGTTTATAGTAATGTCTTTTGGGTTCTGTGTCCTCTCAAAGTGAGTATGAAATCCTTTCACTGATACAGCTAACATGAGAAGGCCTGTACCAGCATATACCACACTCACTACCATTACAAATTAAAAAAAAAAAATCAAACAAAAAAATCCCTTTGCATAATCTCTTATTCCATATTCATATGCATATCTATAGCCACTAAAGTGATGTTATGAAACCCAGTTCCAGGCATAGTTTTCATTAGTGTGTTCTAAGGAGTTAAGAATAAATATTGTATTTATAAAATTAATGTATCATTTATTGTTTAATCTGTCTTTAATTAAAATTAGAACACAAAGATGATTACTTAGGGCATATTGTGTCCAGTTCAATATTTATGGCACTTAATGCATGAGACATTGTGAAGGACATAAAACTGAGCAGAATATTTAAAAGTCAGCATTGACCTAATAGTGCTGTAAAACCCTGCCTAAGAAGTGTTCTCTGATAGTACAATTTGCTTAGGAATTAGTTTTCCCTAGCTGTTCCTCCATACCAAAAACAAGTCCTTTGCTGGGAAGGGCTGGTCCCTGATTCTGGCTCTTAAGAAAGATGGCTCAGAGGTTAAAAGCACTGCCTGCTCTTCCAGAGAACCCAGGTTGGGTCATCTCTCCAGCCCTACAATTTAATCTTAATATAAACATTTAGTATCATTTAATTTCACAAAACGCATACAGGTTCCAGAGTTACAAGCTTATAAGTTGTATATACAAAGACCCATATCAGTTACATATATACGGCCCATGGTGGCTTAACAACTATCTGTTAACTGCAGTTCTGGCCTCTGCTGACACCAGGCATGTAAGCAATACACAGGCGTACATGCAGACAAACTACCTACACATAAAAAATACAAAATAAATTACATTTATGTCAAGAGTCAACTTGTGAGACTATTCTCTCCTTTTACCGTGTGGGTGAACACAGATTATCGGAATTGACAGCATATGCCTGTGCCTGCTGAGCCATTTCTTGGCAGCCTTTTTTTCCAAAAGTTTTTATTACTGACCTTAACACCTTATTTTTCAGACATGTTAGAATATTTAAGCACATAGAAACACAGTTTTTGTTTTGTTGGCAGTTTTACGAGTCATGGGAAACATGAGCTAGGCCTTTGGGATTGAAGGATATATGTGTTTCTCAAGTACAGCTTTTGTGTATGTCTTTTGTATGAACATGAGACCTATTTAAACTTAAAGCATTTTCTTTCCAAGCACAGCATCACTGTTTGATGGTGTGTGAAGATAACCCAGGAAATTAAAGGAGCTTCTAAGGAGAATTTGCAGAGGATGCTCTAGAGAAAGTCTGAGTACTGAGGAAAGTGAGAGCCATGGACCAGAACAACAGCCTTCCACCTTATGCTCAGGGCTTGGCCTCCCCACAGGTAACAGCAGGAAGCAGGGGCAAGGAGGGCCGGTCAAGAAGGTGAAATTTAACCGTCCAGTATTGGCTATGCATTTATGTTTCTCAAGCTTGTTTTACTTTAGGAACATTTCTGCTGTGGATAGGCACTATGTTCATTTGCTTGGCAGGTTTATTTAGAGGACTGTTCCCCATCTGTGTGAGCTATAGAACATTATTTCATTTACTCCAGGAGGTTCCTTCTAGACCTTCTTGCAGTCACTTTACTAGCCCAAGATGACAACCAAATATGCTTTCAAAATTAAACATTACTTTTGATGTAAGATGTGTGTACATAGTCGCAATAGAATTAGACCTAGATTGTTACTAATTCAGTATAAATTTTGCCATTTTTTTCTTCCTTCCTACTTCCACATAATTATTAAATCTAACAATGTTTGTAAGATAGAAGCATTATCGAAAAGGCAGTTACAGTATTTTACAGGCGTTGTTGATTTTTGTTTTTAGTATAATAGTTCTTTCAAGCAGTATGATAGAGTAGACCATGGGCTTATCATCTTGAAACTCTAGGTGCCTGTGTGATCCATCATCCAAAGTGGTCACATGTGAAGTTAGTGCGTAACCCTCATATACAGGGTAACACTTTAAATAGGGACATGTACCTCCAGTTTGTCCCTGTGCTCTAGATATGCTTAGGAGGCTAAGCATCTTTCTTGCATATCATAAATAACAGATTCCAGATGCTAAGTGCACATCTACTATATTCAGTACTACAGAGGAAAAGGGATACATCTCAGGATGCCAAATTCTTCCCATTATTTAATATTTAATGACCTATTATGTTCAGAAAGCATCAGGTTTTACACTTTACCTGGGTTCCACTAGGAAAGAACCTTAAGAAACTTAAGACTTAATGTCTTAAGTATTCTCTTTTTGTTTTCCACAGGGTGCCATGACTCCTGGAATTCCCATCTTTAGTCCAATGATGCCTTATGGCACAGGACTGACTCCACAGCCTATTCAGAACACCAACAGTCTGTCTATTTTGGAAGAGCAACAAAGACAGCAGCAGCAACAGCAGCAGCAGCAGCAGCAGCAGCAGCAGCAGGCAGTAGCAACTGCAGCAGCCTCAGTACAGCAATCAACATCTCAGCAGTCCACACAGGGTGCCTCAGGCCAGACTCCACAGCTCTTCCATTCTCAAACTCTGACCACTGCACCATTGCCAGGCACCACCCCCTTGTACCCTTCACCAATGACCCCTATGACCCCAATTACTCCTGCCACACCAGCCTCTGAGAGCTCTGGGATCGTACCACAGCTGCAGTGAGTACCTCTTATCTTGTGTGTTCATGCCCTCCCCGAGAGTGAGTGAGTTTGTGTGCCTGCGAGCGTGCATGCGTGTGTTCTCTGTCCTCTGCACCAGAGGAAGCTGTCAGTGGTATTGCACTATTTACTTTCAGACAGGGCACTTAATTAAGGGAGTGATCCAGTGGTAATTCTGTTTGGCTTCATCTGCTCTTGGCAGGAATTGAAGCTACAGAGTGAGTCAGTGCTCTCAACAAAACCTTTCCTTAGAAATGGAGTTGCTTGTGTTTATGTGTTTGGGTCACTGAAATGAAAATTGAGTTTCACCAATACTGTGGACCTTTCCCTGTAGCTAATTGACTGATTCACAGTCCAGTTCTATCATAGGCTTGGCCATAATGTCAGCAGAGGTCTTAGATCCAAGTTTTTTTACAATTTTGCTGTGAGGGCTATATTTTATCTTTGGAATTTGTGTGTCTCTTTTCAAAGTGAGGATAGCAGTTCTTATCTTGTTATGTTTGTCTGCCTAAGTGAAGTAGTTCCCACATGTAAAAAGGTAGGAGATACAGGCTTTTTTCTTCTGAAAAAAACCCATACTCCTTAGTAACAAGTACGTAGCTTTACTTTAAGGAAGCTTATGTCCTGATTAAAGGGTTCACTGCAGACAACACTATCCACTTTGTGTTTATTAACCCCCACCCTCCTCTTTCAGATGTCTCCTATTTACACATGGCTTTCATTTTATATATATAATTGTCACTTTTAAGCTATCCCAGATCATTTTTTAAGCTAAATGGTATATAATCATGAATCTCTATACCCAAAAACTTATACCTTGCCTATATACAATTTTAAAATTACTTTTGATTTTAATATTTTAGAAAGACAAGCCCTGTTAGCTCTCCTTTGTCTGTGCTGCTGCAAACCATTTTGACTTCCACAGGCATTCTGGTTTGAACTTCTGATTAAAATTAATCTATTAGAACTAGCTTATGACATACACTTATTTCCATATCCACAGAGCATGCACTTAGGCACTAGAGACTGGAAGATATCTCTGAGTTCAAAGCCAGCCTGTTTTACAGAGTGAGTTCCTGGACAGCCAGGGCTACACTAAAACCCTGTATTGCATTACAGTGCTTCAAGAATAGGATTCAATGGCATGAAACAGTCTTTTAGACCCAAGTGGATAATGATAGATTTTCAGTGTGTGTCCATGCATTTCCCCTGTGTATGCTGGAGGAGAATCTCAAGAATTGTTTCTCAGGACACTACCCACCCTAGTTTTTAATATGGGATCTATTACTGGCCTGAAATTTGTTGGTTTGGTTTAGCTGACTAGCCAGTGCGCCTTAGAGATTTACCTGTCTCCGTCTCCTTAGCACTAGGATTACAAATTCTCATTATCATTTTGGTCTTTTTCATGTGGGTTCATACATGGCAAGCTCTTTAAGCCATCTCCTCAGCCTGCTAATGATGATTCTGTTTAACATGACTTACTGTGGTAAGTACAGAAAAGAGGACAGATGTTTTCTTCCTTTGCCAAAGACATTGAATTCCCATTTTTCCAAAAGATAGCTTTTTCTGGGAAGATTGAGAAAGTCCACATCTGCCTGCTTTTTACCCTGGTGACTTAATAGTGAGCTAGTGTTGGTAACATTTCAGAGCTCAAGAAGGAGGGATGGTAGTTAAATGAAGGATCAAGGCATGACTCTTGAGGCAGCTAGGTCCTGACTCTTCTGCTTGGAAACCATGTTCATCCCAAGCCAAACAGTGTATTCCCTGGAGACTCAGCTGCTTTGTCTGAACATAGGAGTAGTAGTTACTACCTCATAGTACATTTTGAGTACTAAGTGAGAATATGTTATATATGGCACTTTTTAAACATTTAAAGTCAGCAGGGGTTTTTGTTTTGTTGTTGTTGTTGTTATTAAAGCCTGGTAAAAAATTATGGATCAGCAACCTAAATCATGTTTTCTTTTCAAATTTCTTGCTGCAATATTATATTCATAGAAAATTTTGGTTGTAAACGTGACCTGAAAACCATTGGCCTCTTTGTTTAAAAGTTAAATTTATTTTAAGTAATTATGTTTTCAAATTTCTTGCAGAAATATTGTATCCACAGTGAATCTTGGATGTAAACTTGACCTAAAGACCATTGCACTTCGTGCCCGAAATGCTGAATATAATCCCAAGGTCAGACACATTTTCATGTATTTCAGACTTAAACAGAAAATTCTTTCTAAATCTGTAGGTGAGAAAGTTTGTGTTGAACTTGTTTCTTGATACCAGCAAAATGAGTAGTATCATACTTATCTTAAAAAAAAAAAAAAGGAAAGGAAAGAAAGAAAGAAAGCATTTAATTGGGGGTTTACTTACAGTTTTAGAGGGTTAGTCAGTGATCTTCATGGCCAGAAACAGACAGGCTTGGTACTGGAGCAGTAGCTGAGAGTTTTACATTCTGATCTGAAGGCAACAGACAGGGACATTTGCCTGGAGTGGGCTTTTGTGACCTCAGAGCCCCTTTTAAATCTTTTTCAAACAGTTCTGTTCTCTGATGCAAATATATAAGTTTATGGGGTCTGTTTCTGTTCAAGCCACAACACTGGAACTGAGAGAGAAAAGGTTAGGGAGCAGGGAGAAAGCACCCGTTTCTAAGATAATAGCCTAGCATATGTTAAAAGACTTTGTTACATGCACCAGAGAAAAGATTTTTTTACATAGGGAACATGTACATAGACAGATGAATATTCGATTCGACAGCTGTGAGGTTCAGATGGGAGATGCCTGAGTGCCTGGATGTTGAATTTGAAGGCCAAAGCAGTTTCCTGTCACAGGGTCATCATGTACCTGTAAACCATTACCATAGAAACCAGTACCTCACAGATTTCCTCTAATAAAGATGAGATGGGTGTGTGTGTGTGTGTGTGTGTGTGTGTGTGTGTGTACACTTGCTTGTGAGCATATGTAGAGGTCAGAGGAGGGCACTGGATGTCCCCAGTCACCCTCCACCCTATTCTGTTGTTTGCAGTCAGCAAATGAGGGGATTGGAAAAACAACTAGTGTTTGTCTTTTAATTGGATAGGTAAAACCATTTACATTTAGAGCTGTTAGTAAAAACTGTCACCTGATTCCTAGATTCTGGTTGGCTTTCTCACCTTTCATCACTTGGAGTCAGTTGGTTTACTGAGTCTGACATGGTTCATTCTTTCTTGGTTCTCATTTATTCATTTGATCCTGATAAGATTTTTTTCTCTTTGCCCAGCTTGCATGTCTGTCTATCGTTTCCTTAAGTATCTTCTACAGTGCTGACTTTGGTACTAATGGGTTGCTTTAGTTGGGCAAACTTGGAAAGATCAAAGAGCAGAAAGGAGGAAAATGGTGGAGAAAAGATTGAGTTGGGTTTTTTGTTGTTGTTGTTGTTGTTTTGTTTTGTTTTTTTTTTAAGCTTCCCAATAAGAAAAAAAAGTAGTTAAATGTAAGAAAAGGAATAAAAAATAGAAACATTGAAAAAGAAACTTTTTAAATATATTGGTATAACCAAGATAGTTTGACCTAGAACTCCAGTTTTCTTCACAGAAACTCTGACCAGTCAACATAACTGCATAATGCTTCTTTCTGACCATTTAGCGGTTTGCTGCTGTCATCATGAGAATAAGAGAACCTCGGACAACTGCGCTGATTTTCAGTTCTGGGAAAATGGTGTGCACAGGAGCCAAGAGGTATTCTTAAGGGATTCTTTGTTTCCAGTGGATGTATTGTCAAAGAAAAGGGATATACCATGATTTCTATTATCAGCTAGCACTTTTTATTGGTCTGTTGAGACAGGGTTTATCTGTGTAACCCTGACTGTCCTGGAACTTGCTCTGTAGACCAGGCTGGCTTCAAACTCAAATGTTGCCTGCCTCTGCCTCCCAGTGCTGAAATTAAAGCTGTGCACCACCACTGCCCTACTGGACTAGCACTTTCAGTGTGTTATTTAATGGTTTGTCCTAATCACTTTGAATACCCCATTTCTCATTCTTGTTATTCCTGATCTCCTGTACTTTAGTTGTAGATTTATTTAGTTGTTACATTCTACTTTTGTGGTGAAAGCTAAGTTGGAAAGTCTGTTTCATCCAATAATGGTATCCTAAGAGTGGATGGAGATCTCATGGGAAGGAAGATAGAGTTTATGTATTTGTAACTAATTTTCCTTTTTTTTTTTTTTTTTTTTTTTTTTTTTTTTTGAGACAGGATTTCTCTGTGAATCCCTGGAACTTGCTCTATAGATCAGGCTGGCCTCAATATACTTGCCTCTGTTTCCCAAGTGCTAGGATTAAAAGTGTTTGCCGCCACCATCCCATCCTGCTTTACTATTTTCTTTATAAAGATGAATTTTTATCTCAGGAGGAATTTGTGGGTCAGTGATGTAATAGCAGTGATCGTAATTGAACCACATGCTGTATCACATCCTTTAACCTGGGGCTTGTTGCTAATGTGGCAAGTCCAAGGCTGATGTTTTGGTGGATTATGCTTTCTGTGAAGGTTACAGGGACAGTTTAATTAGTTTTCTAATTTAGACCCATTTAAGTTATTCTTCTGAATTACTCCATTAGGTTTCTGTGTATAACTCACTGTTTTTCCTTTCTTTAGTGAAGAACAATCCAGACTAGCAGCAAGAAAATATGCTAGAGTTGTGCAGAAGTTGGGCTTTCCGGCTAAGTTCTTAGATTTCAAGATCCAAAACATGGTGGGGAGCTGTGATGTGAAGTTCCCCATAAGGCTGGAAGGCCTTGTGCTGACCCACCAGCAGTTCAGCAGGTAGGTGAGAGAGGGATTGGGAGCAGGGTGAGCAGCAGGCATTGTTGAGGGCGAAGTCATTTTAGGTGCTCCGTTTCTAGCATGGGATGCCAGTTGAGTGTGCTACGTGTAAACATAAGGTGTGTCTGCACTTGTGCTACTGCACTTTGTGCTGTCCTTACAGCTCCCGTTTCTTCACCCTGTGACTGACCCGAACTCCATCACTGGGATAACTTACATTCACTTCGTATGCCTCCTCATTTTGTTAGTCAAGAAATACACTTAAATAGTTTCTTCTCCCATTTTCTCCTAGTTTGAATCATTTTCGTTTTGTTTTGTCAACATACCAGCAAAGTATAAAGATGAGCAGCAGGGATATACTGTCCATTATTATTCCTTGTCGTTTTCTAGTGAACATTTACTTAGCACCCCTTCTCACAGACCTTTCTCAGTTCTGTTTTCTACTGACAGCCCCACCAGCTTACCTGTTCCCCCACACACTCACCCTAACTTTTTGCCTCAGGGCCTTTGCACATGGCACTTTTATACCTGGCACGTTAGGTGCAATTTTTAACACAGAAATTCCTGTTTGAGTTCCACATAGTCAGGGTTGCTCTTCCTCATACAAACCTGCCCCGAGTTTATCACCAGGCTACACATAAGATACCTGGGTCCTTTTATCAGATTGAACAAATAACCTGAAATCACTAGGTTAGAATTTCATTAACTAATGTCAGTTCAGGTAGGTGGTGTGATCAGGGAGTAGGTTTATTTCCAAACCCATGTGTGTTTAGTCACTCTGTTAGAAAAATTGACAGCTCCAGAAGATTTCTATTCAGGGAAGTGAGATAGGATTACAAGGCTGTCACTATGGGCTCTTAAGAGTGAATGGTGAGATTAGCTGCTATCACTAGACTTGCCCAAAGTAAACCTAATGTAGGTCAGAGAACGTGAGTATGCACACATTCTTGTTTTTATCACAGGAAATCTAGAGTCTGGGAGGACAGCAGAGGAAGACATGTAGTTGGTGGTCATGTCCATGGCACACAACTCTTGGCTGGTGAAAGGGTTTTCTTCTTGTGTGTCCTATTTGTGGACAACTGGCCTGCTCACTCAGTACTTCCTGACACAAAGCCTCATGTTGTTACACAAAATCCTGCTGATTTCTAAACTGTTTTTCCATTTTCTTTCTAGCTATGAGCCAGAATTATTTCCTGGATTAATCTACAGAATGATCAAACCCAGGATTGTTCTCCTTATTTTTGTTTCTGGAAAAGTTGTATTAACAGGTAAGTTAAAGAGATAGTGTACCAAAATTGGAAAGAATTTGGGATGGCATTTCTGTATTGGGACAGCTGTCTAGCCACTTGTGAGGATGTTTTTGTTTACATTTTGCTCCCCACCCTAACCTTCATGAGAAAGGGGAAGTGAGAACAGTAGAGCCTGCAGCCAGCATATGCCTGACTGGCAGCGGGCAAGGAGGGACACTAATAGTTGGGGATGGGTATTGCCTTGCTGACTTGTGGATCGTGCCCTACTGTGGTGAGGAAACGCTTGTTTAGGGTGTTAAAAGTCACCCGATGTATCACTTTTTTAAATGCTAAGAAAATAATGTTTTAAAAACTGGAGAGTGGGGCATGGCCCTTAATCCTAGTACTCAAGAGGCAGAGGCAGGCCAGCCTGATCTACACAGCAAGTTCCAGGACAGTCAGGGCTATACAGAGTAACCCTGTCTCTTAAAAAAGAAAAAAGAGCCAGGCATTGGTGGCACACACCTTTAATCCCAGCACTCAGGAAGCAGAGGCCAGCCTGGTCTACAGAGCTAGTTCCGAGACAGATTCCAAAGCAATACAGACAAACCCCGTTTGTCTTAACTGGGTATGGAGAAAACTGTATTTGTAGCTTTGTTTTAAAATAATGGTGTTAGTTTCTATTTTAAGAAATGTTACTTAAACCAAACCATCTCATTTCTATTCCAATGTGTCTTTGTAGGTGCTAAAGTTAGAGCAGAAATTTATGAAGCATTTGAAAACATCTACCCCATCTTAAAGGGATTCAGGAAGACCACATAGTGGCTGCCATGTACGCGCCTCCCTACCCACTTGTTTTTTAAAACCAGTCAGTTTTGGTACCACTGGTGGTACAGTTGTGAGAAGAAGGACACTCAGTTACAGGTGGCAGCATGAAGTGACACTGTGTGTCCTACTGCAGGGTACTGGAAAGGTTACCTCCTCTGCACTGAGACCACTCTGCAGCACTGCTGTGAGTTGCTTGCTCTGAGCTGCTACTTGGCAGCACTGCCCATTTATTTATATTTAGATTTTAAACACTGCTGTTGATGAGTTTGTTGGTTTAAGGGACAGAACTTTTAAGTGTTCAAAGCCACCTGTACAATTGGACTTTTTATTTTAACTTTTCCCACATAAGCCAGTTTTTATATTTCTACCAGAAAAGTAAAAATCTTTTTTTAAAAGTGTTGTTTTTCTAGTTTGTAACTCTTAGGAGTTATTTTTGTGCCAGATACATTCCACCTTCCCAGTATTGCAGAACTAAATAGTTGTATTAATCAAAACAAATGTACATACTTTTCTTTCTTCAGAGTACTCTGCACAAAAAAAATGCAGCTTGTAAATTGTTAGATTTTTGTTATAAATGATACCTTGTAAGAGTCATGTGATCATACTGTCAAAGAAATTTATTTTAGATACACCTGAGACCATTGTTTTGTTTGCTTGTCATCCCCCAACCTCTCCCCCTCCCCCTTTGGTCTGTTGCAGGGAAAGTGGACATACCACTGATTTTATGATCCCCATTGAGCACCCTCTTGTTTTCTAGACACTCCAGTGTCTGGGACTTCACCAAACTAGTTAACGTTTTGTTCCTTTTTCAGCCTTTGCCAGAGCCTTGTCCAAGGTTTCATAGCAAGTAAGAGACATGGGAGGGCTTTGAGTGTTTCAGGTATAGAAATTGCTGCCCTGTCCACAAGATCACTAGCTTCTTTGATAGAACATTTTTGTCATGGTTGTTTTTCTCATGAAATATCAGGTGGACACTTAAAAAGCCTTGGGTTATTTGGGGAACATTTTATGTCCTTTTTAATTTATAAAAGTACATTTTGCACAGTTCAGACTATGTGTAATCAGAAAGCAGTCTTTCTTTCCATCATTTAGATTATGCCTGAGCTCTCCAGCATACCTGATGGTGGCAGTAGGCGTGGAGGGGACACTAATAAGGGACGGTTTTCAGTTGGCATTGGTCCCCTGGGACTTGAGGTTACTAGTGTACTATTCTGAGATAACAAGACTGAGAAGAGCTCCACTGAATGCCAACAGTCGGGAGATAAAGGCTTCAGTGCCAGTTACTGTCACTCAGGACAAGTGTGAGGAAGAACTGTGGACTAGTGAGGAGGTATTGCCTTGCTGACTTGAGGATCCTGGCCCAGAACTAAGTGCGGTGAGGCGTTGATGGACTAGGGTATTAAAAGTTGCTTTTAATTTTTTTAATGTGCAGTTCTGGGATTACTTTCATCTCACCTGTTGTTTCGTGACTTTCATTTTCTTGCAGTCAGTTTATCAGTTATACTTCCAAGATATGCAATGTAATATCCTCTTAGATACCCTGATTGAGCCATGCCCTTATCGATGGTCCTTTGTTACCTCCAGTGCACACTGATATACAGTGTTGGGTCAGGTATGCTTGTATGCACAGATTTCTATGGTGTACTCTTACAAGAGGAATTGATGTATTATAAACCATTTATGTGTTCTAAGTTTTGACAAATCAATAATAGATTCCAACCCCCAAAAAAGTATATGCAAGGTACCGTTTCTTGCACTTCCCAGACATTACTGATATTAGTAATGTGACATCTATTTGGAAAAGCATCTTTCTAGTATTTCTCTCCAATAATTATATAGTTTTTTTTTTTAAGTTTTATAATTCTTTTTATATGGGACATTTTCATTTCATAAAAGTTAATTATTTCATTATTGTTTCTTGTTTTATTTTTTCATAACACTTTAGTACTACTACTGTTAGTAGTTGATTGCATCTGAACCCTAAACCCTAGGTATCTAGTAGTTTTGATGAGTAGTACTTTTGTGTTTTCTTTCTAGTATCGTTAACATTTCAATGGCTGGGACTTTAATGTACCTTGCTATTTTTCTTCTCTTTCCTGTTTTTGTTTGCAGCACAGTGACACGGTTAGGGTCCTGTAGCCTAGGTGGCCATGAAGTCAGTGACTCTGCCTTACTCATTCAAGTAGCTGTGATTATAAACCTCATGAACTACTAGGTCTCTCCAAAGATTTTATTTAATCAGTTCTATATTGTACACATCTTTTTATCCTTGTTAAATTTTGACTTACCGGTGATAGATAACACATGCAGCAGTCTTAGTTACGGATTTTATTGCTTTGTTAAAATACCATGACTAAAAGCAACTTGGGGAGGAAAGGGCTTATTTCAGCAAATAGTTGCATTCCATCACGAAGGGACAGCAGGGTAGGAACTTAAGTAGGGACCATGAAAGAATGCTGCTTACTGACTTGCTCAGCCTACTTTCTTACACAACCCAAGACTACCTGCTCAGGGATGGCACCACCCACATCAATCAATAATGTACCCCCACAGAAATGCCTATGGTTCATTTTTGTTCGTTTGTTCTATTTCAAGAGAGGGTTTCTCTCTGTAGATCAGGCTGGCCTCAAATTCACAGAGATCCACTGACTCTACCTCCCGAGTGCTGGGATTATAGGCCTGCGCCACTACCCCCTGGCTATCTACAGGTCAATTTTATGGAGCCATTTCCTCAGATATGTGTAGGCTTGTGTCAAAGAGTGTTCTTAGTGAGAAGGGATCATGCTATATCTAGCCCAGGCTAATCAGGTACTAAGTTTGTGACCTGAGATGGCCTTGAATCCATGAGTCTCTAAGGTTGACCCAGATGTACTTTTCTTGAGTGCCTAGCAGGGTACACTCATGTCCACATCACCTGGGAATATCCCCATATAGTAATCCTTGCCATTTAGAAATATGTTGATGCATTTACTTTTTATAGCCTTTAGTATAGACAACTTTACTGGTGATTTGGGATGTGAAGCCACACTTGAGCATCTTGTCTGGGTCTTTTCCTGAGTCACTAGTTGGTGCCAATTCCTTCCACAGCTAAGGGCTATACTACTAGTTCTATGTGGATCTTAGTGCTTTAGCTTAGCTGCCTCAAGTTAAAAATGAAAAGCATTTTCCTGATGGGAGATGTCATTCTGTAAATATGTTTCTCATACTGTTAATGAATAAAGCACTGTTGGCCAATAGGAGAGCAAGATAGGTGGGACTAGGAGACAAGGAGGATTCGAGGAAGTAGTAAGGAGGAGTCAGCATGTAGAGACTGGAGAGCAGAACGGCCAGCCCCCTCTCTCCGGTAAGATAAGACCACATGGAAATACTTAGATTAATAGAAATGGGTTAAAAAATTAAGACAGAATTAGCCGATAAGAAACAAGTAACAGGCCAACAGCTTTATATCTAATACAGAGTCTCTGTGTGTTAATTGGGGCTGGTGTGGCGGTGGGACCAGACCGGCAGTGGGGAAAACTACTCGTAACATTTTCCCTTTAAAAGCAGCTTGGTAAATAACAGGTGTCCCCTGTCTGATGTGCTACAGCCCTATAGTCAATGGAAGTAGAATATTGTCGGGTTAGGATTGAGAGTGAACAGGGATGCTAAAGTAATATGACACGGCCCTGTTCAGGTTTGTTTTAGTGTGGATCTAATGTTGGGAATTCACTTGTGAGTGGGTGAAGACTGAAAGTACTGTTAACATCTTGAGATCTGGCCACTTGCTTGACAATGCACCATATGGAACACCCCATACCTGAAAGATGGCTCCAGGACCTCCCTTTAGTCAGGATGTTGCTTCCAGGCTCAGCTCCTTCTCTGTTCACTTTCCTCTGTTAACCTGTCAGGGTAGTCTGTGCAAAGTATCTATCTGCAAAGGAGGCTGAGGTCCTGTTTTTCTCCATCTTCCATAAGCAGATCCCCTGCCAAGCCTGGTGATACTGCTTCTTTACTCTACTAGTTCCTCCTTCATCCTGATTGGTCTGACAGAGTTGAGTTTCCTGGTTCTGGTACCACACGGTATTGACTACTTTAGTTTTCCCTACACACATCTTTAACTGTAAAACTGGATGTGGGGAAATGCTATCGATGTGACAGTTTATAGATGGAAATATACATGGTTCCTTCCCAGATACTGTTAAGGTTTAATTTTTTGCTCGTGTGTATGTTTTATGTATCTGTGTGAATTATGCCACATATGCACTGGGTGCCCACAGAGGCTGGGAAAGGGCATCAGATCCTCTGGACATGGTGTTACAGACAGTTGTGAGCTTCCTGATGTGGGTGCTGGGGACTGAACTTGGAAGAGTAGCAAGTACTCTTAATAGCTAGGCTGAAGCTGGAGAGAGATGGCTCAGAGCCCTGGCTGTTCTTGCCCAGGACCCAGGTTTGACTCCCAGCACCCACAAGGGGAACTCAACATTGTCTTTTGGTCTCTGAAGGCACCAGACCCATAATGTGGTACACATATATGCAGGCAAAACATGAATGCATGCAAAATAACAACAATAAACTTGGCAGTGGTAGTGCATGCCTTTAATCCCAACACTTGGAACGAAGCTAGTTCCAGGATAGCCAGAGCCACACACACAGACCCATCTTGAACCCCACCCCCCCCCCTTTAAAAAAAGAATTCAACAGTTTTCAAGGTGTGTCTGTTACATCCTGTTTCCACACAAATTCCTCTGTGTAGCCAATGCCCAGGCTACAGCTGTCAGCACAGGTAAAGACTGCCAGGATGCCCCAGTCCACGCTTCTGTCCAGTCTGTCTGCCTTTAGGTAGTTCAACAGCTGGGGCATGACCTGGGAAGAGGGCAGAATAACCATAATATTTCAAGGCAGGGCACCTATATTTTGGTCCAGTTTTCTAAAATGTCATTATTTAAGGTCCTACCTGGAATTCAAATGTCCTCTTGGCACCACAGGGGCAATCTGGAATATCTTTTTCTTGAGGGATATTTTCTCCAGAAATCCAGAGGGGTTTAATGCCTCTTCCATACCTGAGAATCTAAAAATCAACAAGGACCACATCTCATCCAAGAGTTTCCAATGGAACCAGATCCTGAGGATCATTTAAAGGAAATCCCTATGTGCGTCTATAGACTACCAACACCCCTAAACCTCAATGATAATTAAAATTACTGTGTGTGTGCGCGTGCGCGCGCGCACATTCATTATGGCAGCACTCAATTGAGTGTGAGGTCAGAGGAGGTTGGAGGATAACACCTGAGAATCAACAACTTCTACTGCATGGGTCTTGAGTACCAAACTCAGGTCATCTGGATCAGCAATAAGCACTGGCCCCACAATGTCAGAGTCTCAGTCCTAATCATGCAAAAGATTTAGGAAGAGCTTTACTAGAGTCTGCACACAGAATGTGGCCACATACAGTAGGGTCTTTAACTATTTAAAAAAGGATATAAATGTCAGACATGGTATTTGGTTTAAAAAAGGGTAAAATTCTCTATAATAAGCTTCAGGGTATTTTTCCTGTATCGCTATTGCTAAAAACCACTTTAGTGTTAAGGCCAGATCAAAAGCTTACTGTTTTCTTTCATGTTTATTTGATCTGGGATTTTTAGGAAGTTGCCTTTAGTGATTGTTTATGGTAAGGTAATTTAATGGGGAAAAGTTAACAATTTATCATGCTTTTTTAAAATCTGTGTACTTATATATTATATATATGGTGTAGGCATGTGAATCACAGGTTTTATAAGCTGAAAATGTGGGTTATAGTCATTTTGAGAACACAATGAAAAGGTATAAATCCCAGTCTACCTGCTCTGGTTCGAGGGCTATTTTGGATTTAAACTTTTGGAAAATGTGATCTTCCTTGGATTCATGCTTTGCCATGGAATCTAGTTCTTCCTCAAGTATTCTCCCTGGGGGGAAAAGAAAACAGACCAAAAAAAAAAATTAAATAAATAAATAAAATAAAATCACAATAATTATGGAATACTGGGATAATAATCTCCACAGTTTAACTAAATTCAAATGTATGGGGAATCTAGCTAATCACCTAATTAACAAGATACTTTCCTCTGTTCAAGTAACATTTGTGCTTATTTCTAGATAACATTATGTAATCATTATAGATCTAGTCTTTAAGGCTCTAAATTAAACTATGGATGATGGCTCAGAACTATAGCAATGCATCTTAGGACACCCCTGCAACATGAGTCCTCGTCACTACTGTTCTTAAACTATCTGAATTCTTATTTTAAACCTACTCACATCTCATCCACCTCTCCATTTGCACTCATTCACATCCAGGAAATGCCATTTCCTGTTCCACAGCCAGTTTGGACTTCTACCTAACCTAAACCACTGTTTTCCAACAGACAATGGCTACCAATACAACTTTAGTGTTGGTATCATGTGTCAAAATACAACTTGACCAAGTCAGACAAGTTGAAATTCAATTTCATAATTTGAATCGGGGGACAAATTGGGGGAGGCATTAATTAATGGCACTTACTGACATTAATACCCTGGATGCATGGGGAATGTACATTCCCTCAGACTGGTGGTCTCTCAAAGCATCAATGATTTACAGGATGTTAAGATAATCCACAGGTACCTCTCCCCACCCCACTCCCATTCCGCCATCCCTCCTCTCCTTCCCAACCCCTTTCTCCTTGCAGCCCAAACCAATTCTCAGCTAGGACACAGTAACTTAAAAGAAACATTTTGAATATCCTATCTTGTAAATGTTGAACATCCACAAAAAAAAAAAAAAAATAGAAATACTATAGTTGTCAAGTAAAGAATTAGCTTCAAAGCAAATTTTAAGATTCTTCTGTCACTTCATTTTACCTACAAATAATTTATGATAATTAATAAAGTTTCTGTTTTTCAGAAACAGGGATTGAATCTAGAGCCTGGTACAAGCATGCTGGGCAAAATGCCCTACACTGAGTTCTAATCCTCACCCTGTTTTTATTCTAGATAAGGTCTCATGGATTTGTTTAGGCTTGCCTTGAACTCATTTGGTAGCCCTACAAGGCACTGACTGGACTTAGAATCCTCCTGCCTTAAGCCTCCTGAGTAGCTGTGATTGTAAATTTGTACCACTAAAACCCACTGGTACCTGAATTCTTTTGTTTGGTATGGGTAGGTATAGTTTTTTGAGACAGGGTTTTCTCTGTGAAATAGCCTTAGCTGTCCTGGAATTCACTCTGTAGACCAGGCTGGCCTTGAACTCAGAGATCCACCTGCCTCAGCCTCCAAAGTATTGGGATTAAAGGCATGATAACTGAATTCTTAACTGTTGACATATTCAATTTCTGATAATAACCACTTTGTTTCATTATTTGAGTATTTCCTCCCTAGTTCTGGAATCAACTACCTCTCTAAATAGATCATTTTATAGATCTGTAGTACCAACTACATATAAGATGATCTAACATTTCTAAAAATTTAAAAATAATAATTTTTAAAAATTTAAGGATTTTCAAATCTTTGTTGTAGATAAAAGTAACTTGTGAGTTGCCGGTATCTTCCAATAAAAATTCAGACCTACTTTTTGCAAATCTGTATCATTCTTTTCCCAGACCCAGCATCAATTTACTCAGTAACAGCAGTCAGATGTAAAATGATGTAACACCTGTGACATTTGCACTCAGAAGGTGAAGGCAGAGGCAAGAGGAGGAGTTCAAGGCCAGCAAATTCCATGGACTCCTCCTGAGAATAAACCCCTGACCACTAGGTGTCGTTCTTTGTTGTGAATTCCTGTTACAAAGCATGGACTAGGCCACAGGACAGCTCTCACACTTCATTTTTTTAATGCTTGTGGCAAAAATGAACCAGTGACCTGAACCTAAGTTCTTTGTTCAAACACATGATACCTACATGCGAACTTGTCTCCAAATTTAAGAAAAACTCATTGAATGTTTAGAGATCTACTCTCAAATCACTGGTTTGAAGTCATGTAGAATTAAGTGGTTATATAATTCAGTTGTTTCCCTCCCATTAACTCCCTTTCTGAAAGAATACATTTTCATGACTTGCCACTTGTAAAAACAGGACCAACAGTATACTCATGAGTAGACACATCAGTTACAAATCCAGGCAGTAATATTGGCATTCAAACCTAGGTTCTCAGAAAGAACAGCAAGTGTTCTTAACCTCGGAGCCATCTCTCCAGCCCTGCATTCTTTTAACACAAGACAGTTTACTCGGTTGCAAATTCCATGGACTCCTCCTGAGAATAAACCCCTGACCACTAGGTGTCGTTCTTTGTTGTGAATTCCTGTTACAAAGCATGGACTAGGCCACAGGACAGCTCTCACACTTCATTTTTTTAATGCTTGTGGCAAAAATGAACCAGTGACCTGAACCTAAGTTCTTTGTTCAAACACATGATACCTAGAACTTCATTTCCTCACTGGAAGCATGAGGCAAAGTGTGCTCAATGAGGCCAAGCCTAAACCTTAGGACAGACAGGTGAATGCTGACTGATGACCACACTTATGTCAGTTACCACTCGACACAGCCCTAGAGCATGAACTCTAGAGAAAATAACCAAAGTATGTACATAAAAGACAAAGTTACCAAGGGCCCTTCTTGTCATACATGCTGCAGTTAATGTTTTGATCTGAAGTCTTCTACCATGATGGTCTCTGTTTCACCACAGACACCTCTCTCTCTCTGGAAGTTTTTTTCCTCGAGTATGTTTGGTCACAGAACTCCTTACCCATGCTTTCTGTGACTTCAGAGTAATCTTTAATTTCCACAGCCTCAGGTATAACCTCATCTTCTGCTTCTGTTACAATTTCAAATTCTGGAAACAGGAAGCTGTGGTCTGGGGCTGTCTGGTCTAAATGATCTACAAGAGAGTTGTTAGGATCATTAATGAACATTTAGCTTTGAAGGTCTAAAAATTTCTCATTTCTAAAGCATTTCATCACAGTTCGAACATCAGTCACTATGTAGCCTTATGCTAGCCAATAAATGTATAAAGCTTCTGCCTATACCACATGGCAAGCTTAGTTTTATGAGTTGGGATCTCACTATGTAACCCAGACGGGCCTCAAATTTAAAATCCTCCTGCATCTAGCACTTAAGAGCTAGGATTACAGACAGCTGTCACCACCTCCAACTCAATATTTTTAAAATACACAGTAGGCTAAAATAAGACTAAATGGTACAATAAATACCCAACTGCTAATAGAGTCACACTCCATGTACTAGGCCTTTGAGACTAACACCACAGCATGAGTAAAGTGATGAAATCAGTCTATAAGGTCACCAAACAATTCATTATAGCCGGGCAGTTGTGGTGCACCCCTTAAATCCCAGCGCTTGGAAGGCTGAGGCAGGCAAATCTCTGAGTTCAAGGACAGCCTGGTCTACAGAGCAAATTACAGGACAGCCAGGGCTGTTAGAACAAAGAAACCGTGTCTTGGAAAAAAAAAAAAAATCAGATCAGATTAACAGAGAAACATAGTTGTTAATAGTAGTCATGCTGTAAACTTGGAGCTGGTGAAGCTTTATGCATGATTACTATGTTTCTCTGTTAATATAACCTATTGTATTTTGTGTTAGGGAGTCCTAAAAGCCAGTACCCAAGAAAGGCTGTCCACATCCCTAAATCTTAGCAACACTGCTCTTCCACTATTAAAACGTTTTAGAGTATTGTGTTTTCTACTTTCAACTTTATCAGAAACAGATGAAAACAGGGCTGTGTTACCTGACTCTGCACAAGACTGCTTGTGTCCCAGCCGCCAGTCTAGTGTCTGATGCTCCTTACCGCAGTAATGTGCCTGCTTACACCTAGAGCACATCTTAGGGCCCAGGCAGCCACACACCCTGCAGAGATGGGCTCCCGACTTAAGCTGGAAGCACACAGAATCCGCGGTGTCTGAAGCTCCTGTCTCAGAAGGTGGCTCATAGGAGTAAAACGCATTTTTCCTTGGTAGCTGATTCCGAAAAACTGAAGCGAAAAGTATAAAGGCGTTCAGTGAAAGAAAAAAATTACTGAGCCTTCTTCGGTGCTTCACCTCATGAAGCGAGGTTTGCGCTTTCAGGGAGCAGTTTTTATAGGAGAGGTGATAAAACCGGGAAGAGTCCCATCTGACACCAGCAACTGGCTGACTCTAGGGAGTTCGTGCCGAACATTTGTAGGGGCAGCGCCAATTACCTGAATCCAACCGCCCACGCCAACCGATGGATCCCACGCCCGGCGCTTGGCCCCCGCCGGCCGCTCACCTCGCAGGCCGGCGCAGCACGGCGGCTCGCGGCAGCAGAAGAGGAAAAGGCTGCGGTGGAAGGCGTCGTCCCGGCCGGGCAGCGGCGCGTACACCTGCAGCAGGAAGGCGAGCGGACGGCCGCAGCGCGCGCACGCCAGCGCCCCGGGTCCCGGCAGCTCCGACAGGCCGAGCCACGCGGGCCGCCCGCCCACTTTGCTGGGGAACTGCTCGCTACGCAGCCTCCAGGCCGGTGCCTCCTCGGCGAAGCCCAGCTCCACCATCCCGGGCGCTCCTGCAGCCATGGGGTCCGTCCCTGCAAGAGTCGGTGTGTTTGGGTCGGTCCGTGCTGAACCGGAAGGCGAGGTCAGATCGCTAGCTGGGACCCGACTTGCAGCAACCCTAATGGTGGGCAGGAAGCAGAAGTGAACACAGGATGCTGGTGGGCGGGACCCAACTTCTTCAACCCTCCACCACACGCACCGTCTCTACTTCCGGTGGCGCGGAGACCGGCGATTCTTCGGGATGCTGGGGATCTCTGTGCTTAAGGTGTTGGTTCTCGATCCGAAGGCTGTTGAGGCGGGTAGGACATCCCCAGCACTTGTAAATAAAAGAGAGACGTTAAATAGTTCGTAGCTGTAGTCTTCAGAGACTGAGCCCGGATCGGAAACATTTCATATTCGGCTTTACATGCGGTTAGATAGTGTCATAATCTAGTGACTGTCTTAGGGTAGTCTTTTTTAAATCACTGCATCAAAAGGTTCTTCCAGGAGCTGAGCAAGTTTTACAGAATTGAAATTTTGCAGGTTCCTATTGAGACAGTTTTGTCTTTAGTAAACAGAACTTGTCTGAGTGGATGTTGGTGGTGGATGGTCTTGTCTCGGGGGAGAAGAACAAATGTATATTCCCTCTTCAGAAGAGCTATGTGCAAGCAAGCAGGCATACCAATGCAGAAGTCACCGGTTTGGCTAACCTCCTAGGACTTTTGTACTATAATTTTCCAGCTGCTGTAGTTGCCAGAGACTGGTAACGAAGGCTAGAAGCAATCAGTGAATTCCTATTCCTGCTAAACATTTGGGATGCAGGCTGATTACCCTGCAGGAGAGCGTATCCTCCCTGGTCTTTACAACTTTGCCACGATGTATATGGACCGTCCATTCCTGCCACATTGTCTTCTTGAATTGTGGCTATCCCTGAACATGCCCTGGGGTGTGTATCTTAAATTGACCATAAACAACTCTGTACCCGCCCCAAAATGCCTTCACTATATGAATATGTACAGGCTTTCCAACTATATTCCTTACCCTTTCTTTGTTCTGGGAGACCACCCCATCTTTGAAAGCTATGTCCTCCTACTGAAAGACCAAAAAGTGAAGTCTGAGGGTCTTACACTACTTAGAGGCAATGAGAATCTTTACTATTATATGTATTGTCTGTGATCTGTGGTGATACCTTGCTTGTACAAGTAAAGTTTGTCTGAGGATCAGAGGATGGAGCTTGCTACTAGCTAACCACAGAGGTCTGGAGGTCAGTACAGAGAGAAAGGAAGTTAGGTGACTGGGCTGAGAGATGGCTGGGCAGAGACAGGGAGTGGGATAGCTGGGCAGGGAGAGGATATAAGCAGGAAGAAACAGAACTCTTAACTCTTTCCTGCTTGGGAGCTGGTGAGATAGGGTGTGGCTGTGGCTTGCTACTTCTCGCTGATCTCTCAGCATTTTCCTCAATACCTGACTCCAAATTTTTATTATTTAGACCAATTATGAACTCCGTTTACAACGACCTTTGGTTTTGCACTCAGCAAACTAAGACTGTAAACACACTGAATTCTGTTACAACTCCTGGGACAGTGTGACTAGAGGGCACCACCCTGTGGCCAAGAGTGCCACTCTCAGGGTTGTGTGGTCAAGGCATGTCACTCAGGAACTTGCTGTTTATGAAGTTGTGTTGTGATGGTGGGAACAATGAGCGGGACACAGTCCTTCCATTATCCATGTAGAAACTTTTTATTCTTGTTGCAAAGAGGAAGAACCCCTGGTTACATCTAAAGATGGGCCATAGCACTTCAGCTTGTTGAACTGGGTACAAAAGACACAAGGCGAGACACCTTCAGGACTGTGGTGTCTGTCTCCCTCAGTACAGTGGCATTCCCTATGGTATTTCCAGTACTTGACAATTCCCTCTGGAAGCCCCTCAGTCTCCACCCCAAGTGGGATCTGGTTGCTGTCTATCCTTTATCTCTCATTGACACACAGACTAAATTCATGGCAGACCCTTCCAGCCCCTGCCTCACCTCTAGTGGGTTCCAAGCCCTATATTTTCCACCAGGGGTCCCTTGTTGAACCATCTTCTCTCCACAGCAGGTGGCTGAAGCTACTCCTAGTTAAGGCCACCCTAGTCCATCATAGGCATAAATTCTATCCTGGAGGATGAAGTTGGGCTCTGATTACCCATGTGACCTTCTAGGCAAAACATCTTTACTCTCTTGTCAGGGATGAGTACTGAAGTTCTGGGATGCACAGATGGAATCCATCAAATCATGTTATAAACAATTCTGTTATACTATATATATATAAAAAAAAAACAAACCAGTATAGGCTGAAGAGTAGGTGGATTTTTCTTTGGGCTGCCCACTCACCAAAAAAAAAAAAAAAAAAAAGACACAGATTTATTACTAATTTAAAGGCTTGGTTTATAGCTTAAGCTTGCCCCACTAGTTCTTATAACTGAAATTAACCATTTGTATTAATTTATATTTTGTCTCATGGCTTTATACTGCTCTTTCATCTTGTACTTCCTGTTTACTCTCTATGTCCATTGGTGCCTTTCCTGTGCCTAGATTCATCTCTTCTCTCCCTGGAAGTCCCACCTAACCTCTTCTGGCCTAGCTATTGACCATTTAACCCTTTATTAAATCAGTCAGAGGGTGCCTTGTCAAAGACACGTTTTCACAATGTACAAAAATGTTATTCTATAACATTGGACAGATGACTTAATGATTAAGAGCACTAACTGCTCTTCCAGAGGACCTGGATTTGATTCCCAACCATATGGTAGCTCAAATCATTTGTAATTCCAGTGCCAGTAGATCCAACTGGCCTCTGTAGGTACTGCATACAGGTACACTTATTTGTAGACAGAATGTCTATATACATAAAAAATTTTAAAAATGTAAAGATATATGGTATCATCAAAAGGAAGCCATCTTTTCCTTTATTTGATGGGTAATGTTATTTTCAGATAGATAAAATTGCAAAAAAAAAAAAAAACAAACAAACAAAAAAACAACCATCTTACCTCAAAATTTAAATAGTTACTTCACATCCCAACAAACAACAAAAACCAAACTAAACCAAGACAGAAGCTCAACAATGAAAGCTGAATCGAATTATGGCATAGGTCAATGGTAAAAAGCTAAGCTTTTAAAAGATGGATCCCGTGGCTCATACATGAAGCCCCAGCACTGGAGAGGCTGAAGCTGGAGAACAGTGCATTCAGAATCAGCATTCACTCAATGCGGCACAGGAACAGTGACTGAACAGATAGGGGATCCCACCCTGTGCCTAGAGATAGTCTCTCTTTGTTGGGATGTGTTAGGAACTAGCAGCCAGCTGACACCTTCCCCCCCCCCACGATGGGCGGGACGCTCATGGCCGAGTCTTCATTGCTACGTCAGCTTTACCTGGCGGTCAGAGGACTCAGTTACACATGTGCAAGCCTCTTTTAAAGCAAGCGTGCCAAGTGCTTCTCTCTGGTCCCTCTCTGCTCTCTCTCTGCCTCTCTGGTTTCTCTCTCTGGTCCCTCTCTGTTTCCTCTCTCTCTCCTGCTTTCGGTTGGCCACCAGCTACCCCGTCTTTCTCTCCCCTCTCTCAATAAACTCCATGTAGGCGCTGAGTCTCGTGTTTGTGTTTCATAGGCATTAGCTGCAGCAAAAGAACAACAGGATGGGTCTTGTATAGATTGATTTTTAATAATACTTATGCTATTATTCTCAATAGTTGTAGTCAGACTTTCTTTGGACCTACCAGCTCCCAAACAATGACACAGAACCCTATTATTAATTATGAAAACTCAACCTTAACTTAGGCTTGTTCCCAACTATCTATTAAAACTTAAATTAACCCATTTATATTAATCCTTATTCTACAACAAGGCTTGTTAGCTCTCAGTACTGTATGTCCAATACACCCACCTCTGCATCTGGCTGAATTTATCTGATGCCTGTTGTTACGTCCATTTCTGAGCCTGTTAATCTGGTTCCTCTCTTTCTTTTAGTAAACTGGGCCAAGGGTCTGTCAATTTTGTTTTTCTCAAAGAACCAGCTCTTATTTGTTGGTTCTTGGTATTGTTTTCTGCTCTTTTGTTGTTATTTCTTGCCATTGACTAGCTTGGGAAAAGGGTCTCTCACTCTCAACTGGGAAAATGTCCCCACCAGATTTTCCTGTAGGTAAGTTATGTAGTGAATTTTCTCAGTTAATGATTGGTTTGGAAGGGCCCAACTCATTCTTGTCAGTAACACATCTGGGCTAGTGGTCTTGGTTGCTATAAGAAAGCTAGCTGAGTAAGCCACAAGGAGCAAATCAGTAAGTGGCACTTTTCCATGGCCTCTGAATTAGCTCCTGCCTCCAGATTCTTCTCCTGCTTGAGTTCCTGCCCAGATTTCTTTCAGTGATGGACTGTTTCCTGGAAGCATATGATAAAATAAACCCTTTCACTACCAATTTGCTTTTGGTCATCATGTTTTATTACACAATAGAAAGTGTAACTAAGGCACCCAGTTACACTTTAGTCTCAGATAGTTCTCCTTGGATCCCAGACTTTTTTTTTTTTTTTTTTTTTTTTTTTTTCTTTCTTCTTCTTCTTCTAGTAGTGTCTCTCTGTGTAGCTCTGGCTGTCTTTCACTATGTAGAACAGACTGGCCTTGAAAACACAGAAATTCACCTGCCTCTCCCTCCTATGTGCTGGAATTAAAGGTGTGTGCCACCATACCTTGATGGCTGATTGTCTAATACTTTAACTGTAGTGACCTCATGTAACGAGTATGGTTTTTCTGCCTGCCGCTTGGTCTTGTCATCTTTGACATCTCCCATCAACCTCAGATTTATACCTTTTCAGGAACTGAAATTTCACAAAGACCTGAGCTCAGAGTATGAATTCTCTAATGCCCTTCTGACTTTTTCTGCTTCCAGTGATTAATGGAGAATGAGGTACTTGGGCTTCAGACTTGTATGGAGTTAAATTTTATTAGGCTAGGTAGCTGACTAAATAAATAGCATAAAAACAAACAAACAAAATATGGAAGGGATTTGTGTGGGAAAGAATTGAGAGACATCCTTTGAATATCCAAGAAACTTTCTTCAGCTTTTTGGTGCATTGGTGTTTTTGACTGCATGTATGTATGAGGGTGTCTGGTCTGGGAGTTACAGACAGTTGTGAGCTGCCGTGTGGGTGCTGGAAAATGAACCTGGGTCCTCTGGATGAGGAACCAGTGTACTTAACCACTGAGCCATCTCTCCAGCCCCCTCTTCTGCTTTTTCTGTTGCTGTTCTTTGTTTTTCTAGTTCATCTCACATCATGAAAATGGGAATTTGTAGTAGTGGGGCACATGCCTTTCTTTAATCCAGCACTCAGAAGGCAGAGGAAGGAAATTTTGAGGCAAAGGCAGGTAGATCTGATTTTGAGACCAGCCTGGTCTACAGAACAAGTTCCAGGACACACGGGGCTACACAGAAAAGTAAACAAACAAACAAACAAAAATGACAAAAGAAAATGGAGATTTTCTGATTATTTTATACTTTTGAGTTTAGAAAATCAATGGATTTGCCAGAAGTTTTAGTAAAATAAATGGGAAGGTGTTTAGGGGCTACATTTGTCTTCCTGTGATTGGTGAGGTGTGGTTTTATTGCTATTGGCTTTCGCGTTCTTCTTGAAAAGATAGGGCTTCTCCCCTGTGTGTGTCCTCTGGTGATGGATGAGGGGTGACTTCTGTGTAAAGCCCCGCCCACACTCCCTGCAAACATAGGGCTTCTCCCCTGTGTGTGTCCTCTGGTGACGGATGAGGGGTGACTTCTGTGTAAAGCCCCGCCCACACTCCCTGCAAACATAGGGCTTCTCCCCTGTGTGTGTCCTCTGGTGATGGATGAGGTATGACTTCTGTGTAAAGCCCCGCCCACACTCCCTGCAAACATAGGGCTTCTCCCCTGTGTGTGTCCTCTGGTGATGGATGAGGGATGACTTCCGTGTAAAGCCCCGCCCACACTCCCTGCAAACATGGGGCTTCTCCCCTGTGTGTGTCCTCTGGTGATGGATGAGGTATGACTTCTGTGTAAAGCCCCGCCCACACTCCCTGCAAACATGGGGCTTCTCCCCTGTGTGTGTCCTCTGGTGATGGATGAGGGATGACTTCTGTGTAAAGCCCCGCCCACACTCCCTGCAAACATGGGGCTTCTCCCCTGTGTGTGTCCTCTGGTGACAGATGAGGTATGACTTCCGTGTAAAGCCCCGCCCACACTCCCTGCAAACATAGGGCTTCTCCCCTGTGTGTGTCCTCTGGTGATGGATGAGGGGTGACTTCTGTGTAAAGCCCCGCCCACACTCCCTGCAAACATAGGGCTTCTCCCCTGTGTGTGTCCTCTGGTGATGGATGAGGGGTGACTTCTGTGTAAAGCCCCGCCCACACTCCCTGCAAACATAGGGCTTCTCCCCTGTGTGTGTCCTCTGGTGATGGATGAGGTGTGACTTCCGTGTAAAGCCCCGCCCACACTCCCTGCAAACATAGGGCTTCTCCCCTGTGTGTGTCCTCTGGTGACGGATGAGGTGTGACTTCCGTGTAAAACCCCGCCCACACTCCCTGCAAACATAGGGCTTTTCCTCCATGTGTGTCTTCTGATACTCACTGACATTTGACTTCTCACTGAAACATTGCCCACATTTTCTTTCAATTCTTGATATTTCTGATCCAATAAACGATTTGACTGTGTCCTCTGTATTTTTTTTCTGGCCGGTTCTGAGCACTTCTTCCATACTTTTCTTATTTTCCTCAGATTTCATTTGTCCTTTGAGTGTGCTGGGAAAGGCTGTTGAACTCTCCTGTTTTGTCCTTTTATGCATGGGTTTGAGCTCTTGACTTCTGGCCTTGTCATTTTTGTTGTGTGAATTGAAATGTTGCTGTTCCTGAAGCTGATTTGGATGGGGATCACCTGGTTTGGAGTTCATCGTTGAAGATGCTCCTGAGAAGATTTGAGTACGATGATTCCATTGCACATGCTGACTGAGGAATTTCGGACTTGAGAAGGCCAAAGAGCACAAAAGACAAGGATGGATCTCTGTCCTTAATTCTGTGAAAAGAAATTTTTGATTCGAGTGAATATAATAGACAAACAAACAACAATAACAACAAAAAAGAGGTCCTGCAGACTCTGAAACTCCATGTAGCAGACAGACCTGTAGTGAGATAGTCCTTCTGTGGCACTGACCACGCCCATTGGGGGTGGAGCCATGGGCCGAAGTGACCTGTGGAAGGAGGTCGAAGAGAGAGGGGAAAAGCTCTCCTGCTGGCATGACTCAGACAGGAGAGCATCGGGTGGAATTTCCTGGTGTTCATCTGTCTAGGTTGTAAGTTATTTCTCCCTGAATAAACATCTATTCTGCCTATTTGTTTATCCTGATCCTTATGGGTTAATAATTAAGACAGAGCTAGCCGATAAGAAACTAGTAATGGGCCAACAAAATTATATCAAATACAGAGTCTCTGTGCATATTGGGGGGGGCGGGGGGGCGGGGAGGGGGGCAGACCAGGCGGTGGGTGGAAAAACCATACTTCTTACACAGACCCAGCAGTGACTAGCAGGGTGTGTTGTGCTGCTACCACCAAGGGTCTGCTCCAGGCATAGAGTCCACTTCCTAGAGGCCATGGAAAAGTAATGTACCCATGCTCAAAGTGACTGTGTTGTATCAGGAAACCCAGTGTGTTATACCCCACATTGGGTCCTAGACCCTAAGATAAACAGACTATTGGACAGCGTGACCCGGTTTTATAGTAAATTTCAAATTTTGCTACATGACAGTAAACTTTTAGATCCAAAAGATGACACATGTAGGGCGATTTTATTTGGTGATGAAGAAAGAGGAATTCAATAAATGTGGTTTAGTCCTTGAAGTAAAGGGTCAGATATGCTGTGAATTAAGTGTTAGTATAAACCCAGCCTCAAAAGGCAAAGGATGACAAAGCCTGGCAAGACCCAGTGTATGAACTTGTTCCTCCCAAGTCCTCATGAAGTTGTTTCTAAGAGTGTTTAAAGCATCATCCACAGAATCACCTCCCTGAGCTCATGGCTGCTGCAGAGGCAAAGTCCTCAGTAGAATCCCAAGCCAGGCTGGCATGACTCTGAATGTCAACACAGTTGGGCACCTTGACAACCCTGGTTTTGATCAATACTTCTATACAAAATCCACCATCTCTGTAGACCTATTCTACTGTCATTCCAGAAAGGGTTTGGCAGGGCAGAGTCTGGATGGCTCCTTCCACCTGGCTCATCAGCTGGATAATGACTGGGTTGGCAGTCGAATGTAATACCAGGTAAACATTTTAATTTGAGTGTACATGGTTTGTGAGGGCCCAGCCATTGGGATATTTTGGTCATTCATATTCTTATGAATCGGCAGAACCATTCACATTTCCCCTCATTTAATTACAAAATAAAACAATTGATGCTAGACTAGGTATTAATTTAGATACATAAACTGCTTTTAAGACTTTTTTGTTCTCTTGAGGGAGGACGGGGCTCATTGGTAAAGTGTTCATGAGCCATTCATGAAGCACAGGATTCCACACTGGGAACTACAAGGATGTTTTCATTTTACAAGTGGGCCTGCGGTTTTTGATTGATCATGTGTCCTAGTTAGAGTTACTATTGCTGTGATGAGACATCATGACCAAAAGAACATGGGGAGGAAAGGGTTTATTTCAGCTTACACTTCCAGGTAACAGTTTATCACTAAGGGGACCTAGAGGCAGGAACAGATACAGAGGATGTTGGGAGGAGTGTGCTACTTACTGTCTTGTTCTATTTGGCTCGCTCAGCCTGTTTTCCTTCCTTCCTTCCTTTTTGTTTGTTTTGCTTTATTTTTTCAAGACAGAGTTTCTCTGTATAATAAGCCTTGGCTGTCCTAGAACTCACTCTGTAGACCACACTGGCCTTGAACTCATAGAGATCCACCAGCCTCTGCCTCCCGAGTGCTGGGATTAAAGGCCTGCACCACCGCTGCCCATTACCCAGCCTGTTTTCTTATGGAAACCAGAACCACCAAGCTCAGGGATGGTCCCACCCACAATGGACTGGGCCCTCCTGCATCAATCACTAATTGAGAAAATGTCCTACAGGCTGCCTACAGCCTGATCTTAAGGAGGCAATTTCTCAATTTAGGCTTCCTCATCTCTATGATTCTAGCTTGTATCAAGTTGACACAAGACTAGTCAGCCCATCATGTCCTTCAGTTTCATCAGTATCTGTCAAAGATTAATAAATGAGATGGCATCATAACTACTTGCTACCTCTGTAAGTGGTCTATTATTAATTTAGCATCATTTAGTAAACAGAATATCATCAGATGATTTATTCTGCTTTTGTTATAATGATAATAGAACATCTATCTAAATGTGCCACCACAGGTGAAAAGTTCTATCTGCAGTTACCTTTTTCTTACGTTGTGTTTTAGTTTCTTACATTTTCTTGGCCTTCCGTCCTATTTATTCACTTTAAAGTTTTGTGTACATGCTAGGAAATGATGTGAACCATTGGATATTAGTGGCAAAATCAGCAGTACTTTTATTGTGCACATTTGCTGTCTGCTGTGTATTTGTAAAATCTGGAGATTTCAGTTGTAGTTTTTGGTTTTTTAAGACAGGGTTTTTCGGTGTAGCCCTGGCTGTCCTGGAACTCGCTCTGTAGACCAGGCTGGCCTCAAACTTACAGCGATCCGCCTGCCTCCACCTCCCGAGTGCTGGGATCAAAGGCGTGCTCATGTTCCATTTTCTTGCCTCACCCGAGTCTCTCATTCCTCACCCCCCTTTTTTTTTGCTACTTGTATTAATATTTATGAGTACTCTAGATGCTGACTCTTTTTTCATTTATTTTTTATTTATTATGTATACAGTGTTCTGCTTGCATACCACAAGAGGGCACCAGATCCCATTATAGATGGTTGTGAGCCACCACTTGGTTGCTGGGAATTGAACCCTGGTTCTCTGGAAGAACAGCCAATGCTCCCAACCTCTGAGCCGTCTCTCCAGCCCACAGGCTGATTTTTATGCAGTTCTTTTATGATATATTGTTAACACTTGAGGTTGTACCTCCTATAGAAGTGCTTGAAATTTTCATTTTTCTCTAATGGATTTAAACTTCACTTTTGTTTACTATTCATCCTTAAAGAAAAAAGAGTTGAAACATGAACATTTTCAAGAATTCCTTCTTCTCTTTGTTTTTTAAGGGGCCATCATAGTGCTCACCTCTTCCCGTGGCGAATCCTTTCTTGTTCTTGCTTCCCCACTGAATGCCCAGTTCCTGGCCATACTCATCCCCATACCAGACCAGAAGCTCACAACCAGGTCTAATGACCCGGCAAGTTCGATAGAAGATCTGTCTGTGATACTGAAAGGCCACCAGGTTCTGCTCCTCATCATCCCGGGCACAGTTCACATACCTACAGTAGAGAAAAGGATGGAAATGTCAGGCAGGCAGCTCCATATCTTCATGCTCAGTCCCTCCATGCTCTGATGGTCTCACCTATCTCTTCCATAGTGTTATGTACATCCTGGCTCCAAGTCCTGCTCCTCTGTCCCGGATCCCTTTCTTTCCCCAAAAGCCCAGTTTTCAAAGCTCTATTTCAGACTTCCAACTTCACTGGTGACAGTGACTTTCTGCTTCTCCAAATCCTAAATTTTCCAGTTTATACTTTGGAGCTTGGACTTTGTTCCTAGACTCTTACATTTCATCCTACACTGACATCAATTTTGTTTGAAAGTTCTCCCTACCTGCCCAGTTTACCATAGAAACTTCTCTAAGTTTCTCTTAGCCAGATAACTCAGAAAATAGGACTAAAGATATAGCTCAGTTAGAAGAGTGCCTACTTATATACACAAAGATAACTGGGTATGGTGGTCCATGCCTATAATCAGAAAATGCGGTGGGGGATAAGAAATTTAATTTTATCCTCTGCTACATAGGGAGCTTGTGGAAAACCTGTGTTACCTTGTCCTAAAAAATAAGATAACAGAAAAATAGTAGTTTGTTTATATTTTCTAAGATTACCTCACAGAAAGAGTGTGCAGTATCCAAAAACTAAATCCTTCCAGTGTGAATGTCTCTGAACCGAAGGACATTTGCTGCCTTCACAGACTTGAGGCTCCTTTGTTGTAGTTTATTTTAGCACTTTGAACTTCTCAAAAGATAGGAGACTCACAGTTCGACTTTCCTATAATAAATTATCTGTAACATGCCTCTTGTAAGGACACAAGTTGTATGACCTGCTCAAGTAATCAAATCTGTTTCTGAACTGGAACACAAAATATATGCTTCATAAATGTTGAGTAAATTGTAAACCTAATGTTTTCAATGAACGTAGGCTCCTTAAGGTTTGCCTCGTTATTCCAATTTTGCTGAGCAGATTTGTGCTTTGATAAGGTTAATGATATTAGTGACTTATTTTTTCCCTGACTGTTCACAATATGAAAAAGAACTCTGCTGAGAAAAAGAGAAGCAAAGCGTCTGGTAACTGTCCCGACCCATGGGGCAGTCAATGAGGAACCAGGGACACCTAAGAGAGAATGGGAAACAAGAGATACAAAGAACGGACAGCAAGACAGTACTCTGATCAAGCTGACAAATTTTATTTTCTCGGGGGAGCAGGGTATGGGCAGTTGCACATAGGCAGGGTGAAGAGATCAGTAGAAGGAATGCCCTGAATTGTTTAGCTAATCTATAACTAGCTGTAAAACTGCCGCAGGAGAAATGCCCTGAGCTATTTAGCTATTCTTTAACTGGATGTAAAACTGCAAGCCTGTATCTCGAAATGCTCTGCTGAACATTCTGCTTATTTCTTAAGAGGCAGTAATTTTCTATCTCAGAGACCTGAGGTTGTGAGGATGGTGATGGTCCCCAACAGGGAACCATAGAGGGAGCCATGATGGTAGAGAAAGGGGCAAGTCTTGTGAGTGACAGTCTTTCTTGGAACCCATCCTTACCTCATCCAGTTGGCTTGGGATGCATCCTGTCCATCCACATACTCATAGCAGTTTCTCCCCTTGGTGATCTGAGTTTCAGGAAAAAAAAAATTTTTTTTTTTTTTTTTTTTTTTTTTTGTTAAGGCTCTGGGATGACAATAATTAAGTCATGCCACTCCTATCAGTGCTTTCTGGGCTTTAGACTCGTCCAATATGGAGACTCTATATGATGCTTCTGAGCCATCTCACACACACACACACACACACACACACACACACGCACACACACACACACACACACACACACACACACGCATGCACGTTTCCTTTGTCTCTGTACTACTCTATTCCTACTCACCTTCAGATCTTGAAGCAGAACTTTCATGATTGTACAAAGACCATTCAGTACACAAAATTAGTTATTTTGCCTCTGTCCACATCCTAGTATGTCACACAGAAGTCACAGAAAGGATGCGGCGCAGGGGTGGGGGGAAGTTGGGAATGGGGTGGGGTGGTGGTATACAGAGGATGAAGGAAAAGGAGGCATTTCTCACCAGCCAGGAGTAGCCACTGTTAGCCGCCTCTTCATCATCTGTGATCTGGCCTTTATAGGGGCCAAAGTGCAGACCCACTGGCAGGTCAGATGCTTCATTCCATACTCCAAGTCCAGCCTCAGGGATGCCTGATGGACCAATTCTCAGCCCAGGGGGCAGACTGAGGACTGAGCTATTGTGATGCCCCCTGTCCACGACACTGTCTTTTACAAATATAGGAGGCCCATGGTTGGGACAACTGTTGATGAAGAAATTCTGGCACTTCTCACAATCTAAGAAAAGAACAGCAGGGATCGGGAAAGCTGTGTGAACATTCCCAGATCTAAAGGTCTTCAGAAAGACCACAGCACCCCTGCCATTCCCTCTCAGTCTGCACCATAGTCACTAGAGTAGATATAATCTAGGCTCCACGTGACCCAGATGAGTCGTTATATCAGAACAGAACAGCCTTCTGCACGAGAAGGCCCTGGTGGACACTTACAGAGGTAGTCATCATCCTGCGGCTCGTTGACCTCTTCATATGCAAGGCCCTTTCTCTCACGAAGACTGTACATCTTTACCTCAACATTCTTTCTCCTTAGCTCTGGATTTGAGACCAAAGGTGAGTTAAAGTCTTTGAATCTGGGGCATTTAACCGTTTCTTCAAAAAATCTAAAATTTGGGTCTGGAGAGATGGCTCAGAAGCTAAAGTACATGCTGCTTTTGTAGAGAACCTGGGTTTGGTCCTCATAGCCATTCATAACTCCAGTTATAGGTGATCAAACGCTCTCTTCCAGTCTTGGCAGGCATCAAAGCATGCACATAGTACACATACATTACATGAAGACATTAGTACATGTACATACATGGAGGAAGATACTTATAACAATAAAAACTAATCTTTAAAAAAACTAAATTTACTTTTAAAATTTTAAAAGAAAATGTGAAATTTATGGCTGTAAAATTATATTATTCTGTATATTCTGCTTCCCCTTTAACTTTACTTTTAAAGAAGCTAAGATTCGCCCAACAGTGATGGTACACAGTGGGGAGGCAGAGACAGGTGGATCTCTGTAAGTTCGAGGCCAGCCTGATCTACAAAGTGAGTTGCAGGACAGGCTCCAAAGCTAGAGAAAACCTGTCTCAATAAACCATTAAAAAAAAAAAAAAAAAAAAAAAAAAAAAAAGAACAAGCTAAGGTTCTGCCTTCAGCTGACTACAGATGCCTAATCCAATTTTAATTTCTGACTTTTCAGGTTTAGTTTCTACTTCCCCACATTTTCTACTTAAAATGCTTCATTCATGTGTTGGATCATTTAGAAAATATTTGTTGATAGCACACTGCAGATTAGGTATTGAGCAAAGGCCGGGGAGCACAGCACTGAATTTGGTTCCAATTGCCACAGAGATTTATTGGACGCCTTGCCTGAATCAGTTGTTTTATGCTTCACTTGCTGTTTTAAAGCCACATAGAAGCTATTGTATCCTTATTTCCACATATTAACATTTAGAAGCTCACAGATTGCCCAAGCCCTGATCCCTCCATGTGAATAACAGCCTTTAAAGTAAGTCCTGCTACAGTACTTCAATGCCATATCTTAGACAAGACCAAGCTCAGAACTATCTAAAGTTCACTATACTCTAGACCATTCTAGATCATTCTCATCAACCTTCCAAGGTAACCTAAAGGGATTAAAGCTCCCAAGTTATTTACTCTTACTTGGTTTTTGTCCAGTGTGCTGTCCAGAAGCATTTCCTTCTTCAGGAGAGGCCACTGTTTTCTGGGCATGTTCTGAGCCACTTGTATTCAACAAATTTTCAGGTCCAGATACTTCCTGCACATTAGATTCTTTACTTAATAGTATTCTCTGTGTTTCCTTCAATTAGAGGCACATACAAAAACACAACAGGCATTTCTGTAGTTCTTTATGGCATTCCACATGTTGTCACAAGTAACTTTAGCTAATGAGTGAAAAGTCCTTGGACATGTGTGTGTGTGGACTGTCTGAATAAGAAAGAGAAAAGGAAGAACCTACCCAGGCTGTGAATCTAGGGTAAGAGGCCATATCCTAGGCTCTCTCCCTTCAGGCTTTGTTCAAGCTGGCGGGAGGGATATTTGGAAAGGCTAGATGGAAAGTCAGCAAAGTTTGTAAATGAAGAGGGTAAGGCTTACAGACAGAAAGAAGGCATATCTATAAAGTAGGAGATATTTGATTAGATAAGAAATATAGAAAACAAAGAAAAGATAAAACACATCTGTAAAAATAAGTGACAGAGCAGAATAATAACTTTCAGAAGAGAATGAAGAGATGGTTGGCAAAAATGTACTTATACAACTAATTCATGCAAAAATTGCAAAGTGGAATGTTGGAAATAGTTGACTCTGGGATTAGGTTGTTTGAGACAGAGTCTCATTATGTAGGGTGGCCTCAAACTCACAGGGCTCCTTCTACCTCAGCCTCTCAAGCACTTGAATTACAGATCTGAGCCATCATGCTTAGGTTGACTCTGGAATTAGATTAACTGGTTCTTGTACTAATTTTGCCAGGAAATTCACTAATTTTCTTAAATAAATGTACATACACACTAATTATTCATTTTAAAATATTTATTTTCACTTCTGTGTGTTATGTGTGACAAACGCACAGTTCTATCAGAGTCAGACAAGGGAATTCAATCACTTGGATTTGAAGCTAATAGCAGCTTTGAACTGCACTGTTAGAAACCAAACTTAGGACCTCTAAAGAACAAGAAATGCTATTAACCATTGAGCTCTCTCCAACCTCCATACATGCTAATTCTTTTGTGGTAGAACATGAATATAATATTAATGTGAGATCAATGACTTCTCTCATAGTCTCTCTCACAGATGGCATTTCAATGGAATACTGTATTATCCCAATGAATAATCTTATGTCATTTTCTCATCCCTATGCCAAGATGCACTATTTCATTGTGTGCCCATGGCTGACCTGGGACTCCTTATATAGACTAGACTGGCCTCAAACTCACAGTATTCCTTCTGACACTGTTTCCCACATAATTACAGGTATGCACCACCATGCCTGATTAAGTCATTTTCTTATTTGTGGATCCCTTGCTGTCAAACTTGAATATTCTTAGGGCTGAGAGCTGCTCTTTCAGAATGAGTCTCTATGAGGGGGAGGACCATGTCTTTCTTTATCTTTGCCATCCAAAGTAAAAATTCTCTTTGTATTTGTAAACTACCCTCAGAGTATATTAGTGTATTTTCCACTCTAACATGGCACTAAAAAACTGAGGTAGAAACACTCAGGTGAGTGATATGACGTGGCTAATGCTATGACTTTATAATACTAAGTTTTAAAGAGCTTGTGCATGCTTTAAAGAATTTTGGAATTGACTGCACCACTGTTTGCTATGACCTTAGGCATTATTACTGGACATTTCAGTTCCTTATCTATAACGTTGTTATAGTTTACTTCCGGTCTCATAGGTTTTATGAATATAAAATGCTTACAACCTGAAATATTGTGAAAATAAAACAAGTCCAGTTACTACTGTTCATGTTCTTATTAAATTCAAAGAATGACCAGGATGAGAGAAAATGCAGAAGAGACTGGGAAGGCAGTAGTTCCCAGGGTGCTCTAGGTCTCTCCTTCTCTTATCCGTGCTTACATCCACAGGGAAAGTTTTCTGTCTGTAGGGTCTGGAAAGGACTTACCTTCTGTTGTTTAGTATGCTTCACTCGGGAAGGCACCCAAGGAGGACTACCTGGGAAGTGAAGAGAAATTGGAGTTTTGGTTGTTACGTACTTTTACTTGTGAGATTCTCAACAGGAAGAGGAGATTCTGAATAACTGAGTGAAGATCAACCAAGGAAGACCCAAGGGTGATATGGAAATTTTTTTTGAAATATTATTAACCCTATCTTTCTATTGCTGATTTTCTTTAAGTTTATTCAAATGTAGATAAAACTCATCTCTTTATCTTGTGATCATAGATACATGTTGAATTTATTTTTAAGTAAATAAGTCAATCGACCTGCAATGAGGAAAAAAAAAAACCTGAATAAACCAAGAACAAGAAGAAGTGAAGTACACATAAAAAAGGCATGTAGTAAAAGGTCATTTTCAGGATCATTCTCAACAGTGAAGAGTTCGAAGTCTTTCCTCTGTGGTCACAACAGACATATAAAGATTCCCATTCTTGCTATTTCTACTTAACATAATACTGACAGTCCTGCTTAGGACAAGTAGCCCCCCCTCCAAAAAAAAAAAGAAAAGAAAAGAAATACAAGTCAAAGCTGGGTGCCTCTAATCCCAACACTCGTGAAGCAGAGGCAGGCAGATCTCTGTGTGTTCAAGGACAGGCTGGTCTACAAAACAAGTTCCAGGGCAGCCAGAGCTACACAATGAAACCCTGTCTCAAAAAAACAAAATAAACAACCCCCCCAAAAAAACCCACAAGTCATCTTAACGTGGAAAGAAGAAAGTAATTTTATAAATTACATTGTTTTTTTTACACAGAAATCCCTTAAGGTTCCAGTAAGAATTGCAGGACATAAACACTCAAAATCAGTTCTGTTTTTAATATAACCACAATAAACAATCCAGGAAGGAATTTTTTTTTAAAAAAGCACATCTACAAAGGTTAAAAGAATAAAATAGCTAGTAGTAAACTTAGCCAAGGTGATGGGGGGATGTTCTTCTACATATATGTTTCTCTTATTGGTTGAAGAATAAATAAAACACTGATTAATCACTAGAGACAGGAAGATAGGCCAGACTAGGAGATGAGGAGAATGTTGGAAAAGGAAGGTGGAAAGAGAAGGCAAGGAGATGCTATGTAGGGATCAGGAAGATAAAATGTGCCAGGCATTCTCTGGTAAAATAAGACCATGCAGAAATACATAGATTAGTAGTTATGGGTCAATAATTAAGAGAGAGACCCAGCCAGTAAGAAGCCCTAGCTTTCCACCAATAGTTTTATAATTAATATAGTGTCTGTATATTCATTTGGGGCAAATTGGCTATGGGACCAGACTGGAAAGAACCTACAGCTACACCAATAATTTAAAAGATTTGGGCACCAAAAATGACAAAACATTACTGTGGTGATATTTTGTTTGTGATCTAGCAAATAAAGCTTGCCCGGAGATCAGAGTGTAGAGTGAGATACTAGTTGGCCACAGAGGCCAGACAGTTGTGGCACACACCTTTAATCTCAGCACTCGAGAGACAGAGGCAGACAGCTCTATTAGCCCAAGGCCACCCTGGACTACATGAGGTTGATCCAGTCTAAAAGAGAAACAGAGCCAAGAGATGGAGACAGGAAGGGGTATGGCTGGGCAGAGAGAGGAATGTAAGGCAGAAGGAGACAGGAACTCATTGCATTTGGTCTGAGGATTCAGTAGAGGTAGGAATCCTAGTGGCTGGCTGCTCTGCTTCTCTGATCTTTCAGCTTTCACCCCTTAATATCTGACTCATCATACACATTACTAAAAGAAATTAAGGACTCAAAGAAACAGGAAAGATAGCCTTTGTTCATGGCTTATAATATCGTAGAAGTTTATATTACCTCAAATGACCTACAGATAAAATGTATTCACTATCAAAATGTCAGTACCATAGTTTGTTGGATTAAAATAATATCAAAATTAATATAGGATCTTAAGGGAATCAGAACAGGTGCTTGTGCTAACTGATCTAGGTTTGACGTTTCTAGTTTATGCCCACATTTGTCTACATTTCATACTTATTGTATATACAAATAGTACACAATTTTCAGATATTTTAAAATGTATAGGAATAGCTTCTTACTTTGTTTTGCTTTGCAACTTGTTTGTTTACTGGCCTTTGAGTCTTGAGGGGAAAAACAAAAACTCTAGTTTTCAGATGTTAATTCTGAGACATTTCTGAAACCTAAATCTGGCCTGGTCTCAAATGGGTTCTTGTAAATCCTCCTGGCCTCTCACCTTGCTGCTTAGGTGTCCATTCTTCATCAGAGTCCTCACTTTCATCTATTTGGGGCTTGAATGCTTGCCTTTGGCAACACATGAAAGCTGGTCTGGGCGCTTTGAGACCTGAAAAAAAGCAAAATGTTCCTCTTAAAAAGGAAGCAGGCCAGGTGGGTGGTGGTGATAATCCCAGCACTTGGGAGGCAGAGGAAGGTGGATTTCTGTGAGTTCCAGGCCAGCCTATCTATAGAGTGAGTGCCAGGAGAGGCTCCAAAGCTACAAGGAAACCCTGTCTCTAAAAACCAACCAACCAACCAACCAACCAACCAAACAAACAAACAAACAAACAAAGGAGGAAGCAGACGCTAGAAGAAGGAAAAGGAAATGGAGGCCTGTGGTGTGTTGGCTTTTAGCCCTGGACACACACACATACGTACACACACACACACACACACACACACACACACACACACGTTTCCTCTAAACTTGTCTCCCCAGGGAATTGTAGCATTCTATATACCTAGGAAGCACACCAACATAACAGGGGAATTGGAAGTTTTTAACCTAGGCTGGTCTGACCCAAGACTTCTTGTTACCTATAGAAATCAGCATTTTATAATTCCTTTTCACATTCCTATAGCGAATTTTCTCCCACTCTCCCATCTCTGACCATTCTTCTTTGGAGAAGTATATGGAAATATCTTTGAACTCATCTTTGACCTGGAGATTAAAAAAAAAAAAAAAAAAAAAAAAAAAAAAACAGCATGGGATCCTGGGTAGCCAAAGTGATCAAGATTTCTCCCCATCCTAGAAGCTTCTTTAAGCAAAGCCTGGTTGTTCCTGCTGATAAAGCAGTTGCTAATGAGCCTTTTACTTCCCACACATCAGGACGCCTCCCCTAGCCTGTCATAGAAAAACCAGTATGGTAATGTAAGCCAGGAGTCTGTTTGCCTCTGCACACCTCATGATTTCTACCAACTCTAGGTTAACCTTGCTGTACCTTGGGTTTCCACTCGAGCCTCCTTGCATCTCCACGCGGACCTCTCTCTTCCTGCTTGTTGGTACTCATGTGCAGGACATTTACCTGGGGAGGTCCAGGGTCCTATGGTCCTATAGATGGAGAAGTAACTAAAGCTCATAGGCTAGCAGGAGGCCCACCAACCAGCCCAGGGGGAGGAGCTGGAGGCTGGGAATCCATGCTTGTTGTTTTGTTTGTTTTTTCAGCCTCTGTGGTCTAGTAGCTTTTGAAGGTGCAGTGGTTCTAGACTGAGCCCCAAACCTAGGCGAGAACCCTGCATCTAAGGGCCAGCATTAGCAAGTGGAGGATTCCCCTCCACCAGCCACCGCATGGGGTTCCAGCCCGGCTCCTGCCACCTGCTCTTCATCTGGACCAAGGAGTAGGGGCAGAGCCCTTGGGTCTCTGACTGACCATGCTGGGTCTTGGAGAGATGTTTTCATGTCAGTGGATTCAGGGACCCTGGGGACAAGGGATTGGAGTCCCTCCGATGAAGATTTGAGGACCCTCCTGGCTGAGATTGTTAATTTAGGGTCCCGCAGCTTAAGGACTGGGGTTCGTCAGGTTGAAGAAATTGGGATTTGTAGGAGCCTCTCAGGCTATGAGCATTTGGGGGCCTTCAAGACAAGGTTTGGGGACTTTCAGGCCAAGGAGACTTGACACTCTTTTATGTCAAGAAGATTTGAGGTCTGTCAAGTTGAAGGTGCTTAGAGTCATGCTGGAGGACAGCATTTACGATCTTGGACGCTGATCTGAACGAGTGGCAGGTCGTCGGCACTGAGGGTGTTTGGGGTCTCTGGGGAGGGGCGTAGGAGATTCTCTACAGAGACCCAGGTTCCCAGTGTGGAAACTTGGTCTCTCTGTGGCGAGCTACCCAGGTTCCTCAGAGATTGGGTTGGTTCGGCGCCAAGTGCATTTGGGACTAAACCAAGGGGCGTTTGGAGTTCTCAAGAAGCTGAGGAGTGTTTGTTTGTGAAGCTGAGGTGTGTGTGTGTGAGAGAGAGAGAGAGAGAGATAGTGTATGTGAGTGTGTGTGTATGTGTGAAACTGAGGAGTGTGTGTGTATGTTTGTGAAGCTGAGGTGTGCAGGCACGTGAGCGTGTGTACGTGTGTGAGAGAAGCTGAGGAGCGTGTGTGTGAAGCTAAAGAGTGTGTATGCGCGCGCGTGTGTGAAGGTGGAGTGTGTACGGGAGCGCGCGTACGCGTGTGTGCGTGTGTGAAGCTGAGGTGTGTATGTGAAGCTGAGGTGCGTGTGTGTGAAGCTGAGGTGTGTGTGTATGCGCGTGTGTGAAGCTGAGGTGTGCGTGCGTGTGTGAAGCTAAGGTGTGTGCGTGTGTGAAGCTGAGGTGTGCGTGCGTGTGTGAAGCTGAGGTGTGTGTGCGTGTGTGTGCATGTGTGTGAAGCTGAGGTGTGTGTGTATGCGCGTGTGTGAAGCTGAGGTGTGCGTGCGTGTGTGAAGCTAAGGTGTGTGCGTGTGTGAAGCTGAGGTGTGCGTGCGTGTGTGAAGCTGAGGTGTGTATGTGTGAAGCTGAGGTGTGTGTGTGTGAAGCTGAGGTGTGTATGTGTGAAGCTGAGGTGTGTGCGTGTGTGAAGCTGAGGTGTGTGCGTGTGTGAAGCTGAGGTGTGTACACGTGTGTGAAGCTGAGGTGTGTGCGTGTGTGAAGCCGAGGCGTGCGTGTGTGTTTGTGAAGCTGAGGTGTGTGCGTGTGTGAAGCCGAGGCGTGCGTGTGTGTTTGTGAAGCTGAGGTGTGCGGGCGCGTGAGCGTGTGTATATGTGAGTGTGTGCGCGCGTGAGTGTGAAGATGAGGTGCGTGTGTGTATGTGTGCACGTGTGTGCGCGCGTGTGTGCGTGTATACATGTGAGTGTGCATGCGCGTGTGAGGCCGAGGGCCCCGGGTCTGCTTTGCCGGGTGTGACCACTTATTGCTGGGGTCTGGGGTCTCACGGGCTGGGCCGAGAACGTGCCGCTCCGCCGGCTCCGCCTGTGCGCGCTCCGGGGACCCCGCCGCTCCCGCCGCCGCCGTCCGCGCCGCCGCCCGAGGAGCTCGGAAGCCGCGGGCGCGGGGCGGGCGGGGGGCGGGGCTCTGCCCGCAGGATGCCCCGCCCCTCGCCGCGATTGGGCGCCGCGGTGGGGGCTCTGCCTGTCACTCAAGGGGTTCCCCTCAGGATGCCCCGCCCCTCGCCGCGATTAGGCGCCTTGGGGGCGCCCGGCGCGCAGGCGCGGTTCGCCCTCCGCGCGGCGTCCGCTGCCCCGCGCTCCTCCTCTGTGCCCTCCGCTGTCTGGGGCCCCGGCTGGGCTCCCTGAGCCGCGTCCAGTCTACAAAGCGTCCTTAGCGAACGCTCCGGTCTGCTCTGTCGTGGGGTCCTCCTTCACTCAGGCTCCGGCTGGAGCTGGACGCCGGGAAGACAGACAGCCGTGGTTGGAAACTTGGGACCGGAAGTCCAGCCTGAGATAAGTAGCTAGTCTCAAATATAGACACAAAAGCAAATAAAACAGATCTTCTCTGTGTCCCCTGAAAAGAACCTAAAAAATCTATCAGGCTGTGAAAGTTTGTTATTTTCGCTTTTTTTTTTTTTAATTCTTAAAGAGCCACCTGTTTAACAATAACTTAAATATTTCGTGAAGTGCTAAAGGAGTGCCTGGTTTAATGTAAACCGTGATTAGGGGCTGGAGCGATGGCTCAGAGGTTAGGAGCACCGGCTGTGCTTCCAGAGGTGCTGAGTTCTCAATTCCCAGCCAGGTGACCTGGCATCAGCCCACAGATTATACGTGCAGGCAAAACACCAATGCACATAAAATGAAAATTAACAATAATAAAAAAGAGCACTGGATGCTCTTCCAGAGGTCCTGAGTTCAATTCCCAAACAACCATCTGTACTGTACAGTAAATAAATATATGTATGCAGGGAGAACACTCAATTACAATTCTTTAAAAAGAATCATGATTAATTAATAGAAATTAGTTCATAAGGCAGGCGGTGCAGTGGTTAAGAGCACTTAACGTGGGGCAGCTCACAACCCGTGTTAACTCTAGTTCCAGGGGATCTGATACAGTGCACATATGTACACTCAGACCTACATAAATACACAGAAAGTAAATAAATAGATAACTTAAGAAGAAATTATGATTTCAAGCCAAGCCCAGTATTGCTGGGATTTTGTGCTCAGGGCAAGCAGGCAAAGAACAAAAGCTTCCTTCTTCTATGCCCTTGTATAGACTTTCAGCTGGAGACATAGCCAAGATTAAAGGCCTATGTCTTCCTGCCAAATTAAAGGTGTGTGCCTTCCCACCTCAAAGGTCTCGACTAGAAGCAGATTCATCCTTCTCAAACAAAGCAAAGGATCTCTCACAGGCACACCCTCAATTTCAAGGTTGTAGTTCATTCTAGATGTAGTCAAGTTGACAACTGAGATTAGCCATCACAACAATTCACAGAATAAACCATTTTAGGGTTTCCAAGATAGAAGTTCCTGTCAGTAGACTGATGACCTGACTTTGATTTCTGGAACTTATCAGGTAGAAGGAGACAGCCATTTTAAACACACACACACACACACACACACACACACACACACACGCACACACACACTAGCTAAATAAACCATGTAAAAACAATTAATATATATATATATGGTATCTGTTCCCTTTAAGGTGGGTGTTGTGTTTTGCATTGGCAAGAGAGACCCCTTGAGTTTTGCTCATCTGCTAGACTGAGAAAGAAAACAAATAGAAAACACTATTCCAGAAATGATTCTTAACTTGGGAGGCAAAGGCAGGTGGATCTCTGTGAGTTCAAGGACAGCCTGGTCTACAGAGCAGTTCCAGAACAGCCAGAATTATGCAAAGAAACCCTGTCTCAACAACAAAAAACAAAACAACAAAAAGATTCAGAAATAGTGAAGTATCCCATCTCCCAGGGAAGCTCCTTAAAACAAAACAGCTTCAAAAAAAAAAAAAAAAATCTTCAGGAAGTTGCTGAAACTGACCAGATTCACTAGCTCCCCTCCCATCCTTCCGAGCATAAACAATAAAACCTCTAAAGTCACTCTCGGAGCAGTCAAGCTGCAAAACACCAGCCCAGCTGCACGGAAGAAGCAGAAACTAACTGAGATGCCTGGAAGGGGCTTAGGCCAACCTGTAAGCTGTCTGCAGGCTGTGCATTATGATTCAGGTTCCCAGCTTTTGTCAGCTGACACCCATGCTGGGGTGGACTTTCATGATGCATTTTAATCACGGTTCACCAAGTTGGACTTTGATGATATCATGATGGTCGTGTATTGATGTTTAATAAGGATCAGGAGAAACAAATAGGCCGAATAGATGTTTATTCAGGGAGAAATAACTCACAACATAGGCAGATGAACACCAGCAGGTTGCTGGTCCCAAGGATGCCTCCGGATATACTCCTGTCCCTATGCTGCAAGCAAGAGAGTTCTCCGAGACCCCTCCTCAGCCAAGTCACGTCCGGCCCTGTCTCCACCCCCAATGGGCGTGGTCTATGCCACAGGTGGGGACAAGGTGAATATCTCACTACAATTTCCCTTTTAGTCTAAAGAAAAGATTTGGGCTAGATACAAAACAGTGAATAATAAGTGTGCTCTAAGAAAAGGAAAATCGAGAACATACAAACTTAAGACCTAACTATCTAGTCCTAGAGTGAAGTCGAAACGGGTTTTACAATAGAGTTGTCCTAATCTGGAAAGTTTAAGTCTAGTACTTAATATATCTAACTAGGAAGACAGAATAATAGTTGTGATAATTTAATCTTCAACCTCATCAAAGACCTGAGAAGGAAAATAATAATAATACTAGGGTAGGCAGGAAGTGCGGATGGGCAACTTCTAAATGGTGCAGTAACGACAGAAACAGCAAGTTACTTGGACAGTCACCCAGTTTTGGCTAAGGCTTAGAGTACCTGACAGACCACAACAGCAGGGAGGTAGAATGGCTGTCTTACCCTGACTTGGCAGGGTTCAGCAGTCTTCTATGTTTGTCTCCTGCCAGCACATAGG